GTACTTCCATGTGTACTTGAAACTTAATAGAGCTGGGAATGTGGCCAGGTTTACACTTTATACGTTGGTCATTCTCCAGCCTGTGTTAACAGAATTCCACACTTCCTTTGCTGCAAGCATCCACTGCCAGAGGCATTAAGCCTCTTATACCGGTTGTTGGGAATCACAAGCCCCATTTCTGTAAAAACAGAACAGGAGAGGCATGTCAGATGTTGGAAAAATGTCTTTTCTTATGACTAGCCATATATCCTAGACTTTGTCATGGTACCTTTTAAACATTTAACCTGTAGTCTGAGCTGATGCAGAAATAATGTGCTGATTTCATTAAGAAAACTTTGAGGATTACCTGAGCCGGTGTCCAAGGGTGGGAACCAGGAAAGCCATGAACCATCATTTGGGAGGGGCAAATCCAGCCTGCAGGCTGTGGGTTAGCTACCTCTGAGTTAAGCGTTACTTGAAATGTTAGTTATTACATTGGCAATGGTGGGGTAGATGGTTTAACCATTTTTAGTGCTGGTTATCAACTTTATTTTCCTGTTTGTATATTTTTCCAAAGCTGACTGAGTTCGTATAACACATTATACTCTCTGTGTGGACTTAAGGAAGTTGAAAGAGGCCAAATCTCTTCAGGAAGCGTGGAAGTTATTTAAAAACCTCTATAATAGAGGTTCAGATAAAATGTATGCTACAGGTCAGTAAGCGGATGAGGAAGCCTTAGAAAATGCCAGTGTGTTTAAATAGCAGTGTCAAGGAAACCATAAAAGGTGAGAAGATTTCCTTTTTTTAAAAGCGGAAGTGTTGCTCAAATGAGAAAATAAATGGAGCATTAGCTTGCACGGAGCAAATATAAATTGATGATAAGGCAAGCAAGGAAGGGATTTCAGAGGGAAAATCAAACAAGCACTTTAAATGCAACAGGAAACTATGCAGGCAAAAACTGGTGTGTAGAGGACTGTGCTGGGGAAGGATGCAGAAAGGTAAATGTATTCTGTAAGCAAACTGGGTGTCTTTGGGTGTCACTGTGGGAGATGTTGGGATGAGGTAAAAGGTAAAGGTAAAGGAGCCCTTGGTGGTTAAATTTGACCGGCACTAAAGCGGCACTTATCTCCGCTTTAAGGCTGAGGGAGCTGGCGCTTGTCCGCAGACAGCTTTTCGGGGTCATGTGGCCAGCATGACTAAACCACTTCTGATGCATGAAACAGCGTGATGAGTGCCAGAGCACATGGAAACACTGTTTACCGTCCTGCCACAGCTTTACCTATTTACTCGCATTGGAGCTGCTTTGGAACTGCTAGGTTGGCAGGAGCTGGGACAAAGCAACGGGAGCTCACCCTATTGCACGGATTCGAACTGCCAACCTTACGATTGGCAAGCCCAAGAGGCTCGGTGGTTTAGACAATGCCCCTTTACCTTGGGATGAGACCCAAGTCTAAACCATTGTTTCTTGGAAGTGTAACTGAGGAGGTGTGTCAAAGAGAGTCCTACCAGTCGCAAAAGAGCTTTTACCCACCCAGACATTTTCCTTGTATGCCAAGCTTGGGAATTAATCTTTTATTTTTTGCAGACATGTTGCCTTCCCCAACCACTTCAGATGTATCCACTTCAAATCAGGGCACTTCAGAGAGATTTCACCTGAGATTATGGAGCAGAGGGCTATCAGTGGCTACTAGCCACAGTGGCTATGCTTTGCCTCCTCGGTCAGAGGCAACATCACTTCTAAATGCCAGTCACTCAAAGCTACAGGACGACAGCGCTCTTGTGCTCAGGTACTGCTGGTGGGTTTGCCACAGGCATCTGGTTGGTCACTGTGAGAACAGGATGCTGGACTAGTTAAGTCATTGGGCCAATCCAGTAGCACTCTTCAGATGTTCTTATGAGTTCAGACAAGCCCTCTTCAGTTTGAGATTGGTACAAATTTGATGCACACCCCTAGTGACAACTGCCACTTTAAAGAAAGCAATTCAAAATGCAAATAGCATCACTACCCTGTCTTAGGTAGGTGCTTTCAATGTTGAGTTGATGTTTTTAAGGAGCTGCCTCCCAAACCTCTAGGCTGTATTTCCTGACTAATAAGTAACTAGCCCTGAGTCAAAATAAGAGGGATGGGGTCCTGTTTCACAAAAGTATTGCCCTCTGCAAAGAGCCTTCATTTCAGTGATGTGTCAGGACATGCACAATCATGGAGAAAAATGTCCACCACATTTAAACTGGCAGCTACCATTTTAAAAAGAGGCAGCCTGGAGCACAACCTCCAATTTTGCTCGTCTTTTGGCAAACCGTTTGCCAAGAAAGGGAGAGGAGTAGGATTTTTGCTCCAGGTTCCTTACTTCAAAGTAATGCTTCTTTAAGTGATGCAATCTCTAGTGTGACCCTTGTTTCTCCCCCTGCTATTGGCAAACTATTTGCATTCAGACAATGGACTAATTCAGTGTAGAAATCACCTTTTCTAGGGAATGAATAGCTATCATGGTGCCGTCGAAGTGGTTTGGACTACAGATGCCATCATTGCAGGCCATTGGCCATGTTGGCTAGGGGCAATGGGAGTCATAGTCCACAACATCTGATGGACACCACATTGGCGACCCATGTCCTGAAGAAAGGAAGCATGAGAAGCAGCCCTGTTTGCAATAGCCTAGAGTGTAAAGTGCAGGGATAATCGTATTTGTCTTCACAATTGCACAAGGCCTGCAGTAGTCCTCTGGCATTTGTGTTTTCAGCTTGACAGGATTGTTTTCCTAATTTGTTCAGCTGATTTTTCTTTCTTGTTTGTTTAAAAGGAGCACAGTCTGGAAGCCTGAACTCTGATGTAAAAAGGATAAGGTCTTTGATGATTCAGGTCAATGGAAGATGTAGAGCCTATGAAGACCTCCCTGTGGAGCGACGTTGCCATTGGTTTAGATCTCATCATCACAAGTCGACACCTTTATTGCTCTGGAGCTTTTTCACAGATGTCAGCGACATTGTTCTCTTTGCTCTTGTTTTAAACGACTGCACTGTAAATAAATAAAAGAAGCTGGATTTTTTAAAATAGAAAACCTGTTAAGCTAAGTTTGTGGAAATTCTCAGTAAAGAGTGAAATCTGCCACATGCCCTCTAACTCATGCACATCATCTGCAAGTGCCTTTTCAACCACGTCAAAATGCCGACTTGTGACCGGATGTCAAAATAGATGGGGCAGACAGATGAGGGTTCCATCTTTAGATGTGCATTTCCTTCATTTCATTACTTGCCGGCAGAGACTGATATTCTTTCAGTATGGTTTTTGCCGAGAGATATTATACAGATAAATCAGAGGGATATATAACCAATGGCTCTGTGGAAGCCTTACACCAGGATCATTTTTAGTTCAGCAGTGCAAAACCAAATTTAATTAATAAGGCCGAGTTTTTAACTGACTTGCCTTTTATAAGACTTATTAAAAGATAAAAGTGATGTATTGAGAGCCACTGCCTTTGAGTGTGTGCTGCAGCCTCATTTGCGTAATAAAGGGGGTTTGGCACATGAGCTTCATAGTAATAATAAATGTGTATTAATGAAGACAATTATAGACACACGAAAATGTATGCCGCATAAAGGGAAGAATCTTGGTTATTAATGTTGACAAATCCAATACAGATGGCATTATGTATGTTAATATTATTATAAATCCTTATTGTTATGCATGGATGTATATTAAAGCTATCATTATGAATCATATTCTGTCAGCTCCCATGAGAAAAGGAAAGTACATGATGGCAATATGTAATGGCAAAATGCTATTGTCATGTTTATATTGATGTCAAGTTCAAATTGAAATTAGTTCTTAAAAGTTGTGACAGCCACATGGTTATCCATTTGAGTAATAATTAACATTCCACATAAATGACAGTAATAAATTAATATTGAGATAATTAGATTATGTAACTGTACTCCTGCTCTGAAGTCATCTGATGTCAAAAGGAATTGAAAAGAAATTTTGGGGAGGCTGTCACACCTGGGAATGCACACTAGATATGCTGAAATGTATCCTGGAAATGTGATTCTCAAATCTCTCTAGAATAAAGCACAAGTCATCTTGGTTTGCCTTTTTGATATGTATTCTATTTGGCTGTGATTGTCCTGATTCCAAGAGTCACTTTCAATTTACACCTGTTGTACAGTGGTAACTCAGGTTACAAACACCTCGGGTTACAAACACCTCGGGTTACAGACTCTGCTAACCCAGAAGTAGTACCTCGGGTTAAGAACTTTACCTCAGGATGAGAACAGAAATTGTGCAGTAGCAACAGCGGGAGGCCCCATTAGCTAAAGTGGTACCTCAAGTTGAGAACTGTTTCAGGTTAAGAACGGACCTCCGGAACGAATTAAGTTCATAACCAGAGGTACCACTGTACTCTACAGATAACCAGTATCTATCAAAATACAGCTATCCATCATGGCCAAAGAGAGAGAGAGAGAGAGACCTGCTCAGTATTTCATTTATGCACAAGTTGAGGTTTGCTAAGGAATGGATTGAGACCTCCCTCATGGAACCATCTGTTCTAGTAGACCTGCCTTTGTGAAACTCTGTAAATTTTCATTTAACACATTCCTTATCAGATGAGTTAGTTTGAGGAATCAGTCAGTGGCTTGGGAACAGAGCTATGACAGTTACTCTATCACAGTTGCATGCTGGACCAAACCTGCAGTAACAGTGAAGCAAAACCCACACTAGGCTCTCAAGGACAAGGTTCCTGGCATCCCTGGCACTGACTCCAACTGCCAAAACTTAATTCAGGAGCCTTTCACCATCTTTGTACTCTCCATTGCAGGCCTGCATCTGGTTGCCAAATATGTATTGCTTTCTAACCTTTCAGGTTCCTGCTACCACATCCCAAAGAAGATCTTGCTTGCCATTCTGGATCTGCCAGTTGCTTAAAAAATAAAGCCAAGATAGCATCATGCGAGAAGTGGGGAGGCCAAAATAAGCAGAGAACTTATTAAACAGGAAGAATATCTATGGGTCATATAATAAGTGACAAATGGTTATTATTGCAGGTCTTGGTGAGCTAGCCAAGAAAGAAAGAAAGAAAGAAAAGAAAGAAAGAAAGAAAGAAAGAAAGAAAGAAAGGTAAGGTTGTCATCTTGAAAAGCTCTTATCCCCAAACCTATGGGAAGCTGCAGCACCAAAACATTGGGGGAAAGCCCCACTGCACACATTTATACACCAAAAATACTGTGAAAACCCCCAGTGTGTAGCAGATACTTTGGAATATGATCATGCTGTCCTTTTTACCACACTGTATGTCTTTTAAGCCAAGGGTGTGGCTGCTGCAAGTGTGGATTTTTGACTGACTTTTTGCAAGCTATGTGACATGCAACTGCCATGTGAGATGCAAAAATCTATTCATGCTCACTTGAGCACATGACATCAGCACTCACATGACTTGCTCCATGTGTGGCTGTACAGCTAAGGGTTGACCTGGGAACATCTACTGCCAGACACTGAAAAAGAACTGCAATGAAGAGGCTATTCATTTCTTACTCATATGCATTCGCCATTCAGGAGGATGAAGAGTGATACACTCTTTCAGTGCATGTGTATATTATGCCAGGGTGACTGTGAGGAAAGGATAGTCCCATTCAAGGCAAGAGCACACATTGTTTTGTAGCCATGTCTGTGAAGCATCCTAGTGACATTCATGCTTAACCTGACCCCATGGGATATCTGGAGGTAGGCTATAAGCTGCCCCTTTGCCTTCTACTTGACTGGGGTGTTTGTGTTTCTGAACAATAACAACCATGCTGGTCGTTTGAATCATGTCCGTGTATAGCTAGTTGAGCCTAACTGGTATGGTTACTGGTGGGAGTAGGAAACAGCTCAGGATAGGTGATATATGTGTCTGATCCTTCTTTACCAGTATATCCACTGCTAACTGCAGGATATGTGGTGGGTAGGGGATTTGCACACCCTTTTCTCTTTCCTTTCCCACCAACCAACCACACCTACTGGGAGTAAGGTAGACCCTTCACATGTAACTACTTTGTTGCCAGACACCTCACCGTATTGCAAGTACTTCAGGTTCTCTGGCTGATTTCATAGATGGCTCTCACTGCAAGGCTATTTGGGAGGTGGGTTTCTGGCAGGAATGATGTCCTCACAGAGGTGAAATTTGAAGGACATGCTCCTGTAGCATGCCAGTTACTGGAATAAAAGGAGTAAGAGATAACAGAAGTGGATGCTTTATATATAGGCATTTGCCACTGGTATAAGAACACTCAGCATTAACCAATGAACACAAAGTTCAAACATTCCAACTGGCATGGAGTTATATCCAGAAATAGATTTTATCTACCTTTGACAGATACCCAAAGGGGCTTTCTTTCTTTCCGACACAGTTTGGCCACACTCATGTAGCTTGTTGTGCCATTGATTTGAGATGAGCATAATGTGTATGTGTTGAAGGAAATAAAATGAGGATAAAACAAACCTTTGACAATCTCTTTTTCTCCCCCCCTGCTCCTTTGGGAGCTGATCCTTGACCTTTTGAATGCTGTCTTTTGTAAAAACCTGATAGGCAACTTGAAAAGGAACTAAAGTGCCAGTCATGGAGACACAGAAGGTTAAAATTCTGTTCAGAACCAAGTGGCACTGCTGGGTTGACTCACATGGATCTCCTTTGCTAGGCTATTCTTATTCCTTTCTCTCCACTGCCCTCCACACCTGGATTTTGGCAGACATGTTGCCAAGAACATGCTCTAACTGCCCTTTAAAGACAATAAAATGATTATCGACAGAAAAAAGTTAATGGGATTATGCCCTAGTCAGTTAAACCCAGCAATTAGTTTTAGCAAGATCAACAGTTCCACATAGCTTGCTTTAAACTGTTTTTACTGCTGTATTTATATTGCTGTAACCCTCCCTGGGACCTGGGAAAGGAAGTTAATAAATCTAATAATAATAATAGAACACCTGGGGATCAGATTCAAGGGAACATCAAAAAAAGTTCAGTCCCAACAGAAAGCCAACGTTCGCCATGGTCTCAGATACTTCAGAGAGTAGGAAAGTCTGGAAATGAGACATGTCTGCATCCCTCATTCAGTACTTCACAGCAGCCAGCATTTCAGGAAAGAACAAGCTAAGACATACATAACATAACTGGGGAGTGTGGAGAAATACCTCTTTTACTTACTGTAGGATTGGGAAACTGTGGACCTCCAAATGTTGTTGGACTCTGTCAGCTCCAGCAAGCATGGCCAATGATCAGGGGTGATGGGAGCTGTAGCTCAACAAAATTTGAAGGATCACAAGTCCCAGCCATGGGAATCCTTAGCAAAAGGTGACCAGAAGGTCAGGAGTCTGTGATAAGGCCAAGAAGTGACTATCTGGGGTGAGCTGCATCCAAAATGAGAGGCATTATAGCTTCTGAATCCCATTTGCTGGAAACTGCAGGAGAGGAGAGTGTACTTGTGCACTGGTTGGCCACTGTGAGAACAGGTAGCTGGACTAGATGGGCCATTGGTCTGGTCCAGCAGAATCTTCTTGTGTTCACTACAATGCGTTATCCTAGAGACCCTTTCACTTTTTCCCATATAAGTGGGAAGTCTTGATGCTTCATGATAATGGGAATCTTGTTAATAGTGCATTAAGAAGAAATGTTAAAATGAGGCAAATGCTGTTATCAATAGGGATTATTATAGTAATACTAATTCAGTGATGCTGACATTTTAGTGGCTGGACAACATTAAGTGTTTGAGAGAACCGGGGAAGGTAAATTACCTTCTGATCCTATTATGTGATTTGTCAATACTGTCTCTCAATGATTAGCATTTAGTTTTCTTTAATTAAGGAAACCAATGTGGAGGACAGTTCTGAAAAAAATAGATCACAAACACTGTTAAAAAGTTTGCAGATTACAGACAACTTTAGCCTGCCCTCCTTGATCCACAAGTCTAAGCTTTGGACATTGTGTCTGTATTTAAGTGAGCACATAAACCCAATGGTTCAAAGGACAGACATCTCTGCTTGCCAACCACCAGTTTTTCACTCTTATTATAATTATCACCACTCCCAGGGTCATGTGCAGCATTAATCTAAATTGCCTTGTCATTGGCAGCTAATGCAATCTGATTTGTATTGCTTGCAAGTTTATGCTCTTATCCTTATGGGTCTGCTGTACAGCTATCAAGAAAAGCTTTCCAGGAAAGCACATGCAGAAGCCAGCCCTCTGGACACTCTGTGCACCTCCTGAAAGGCAAGGAACCTGGATAACCTTAGATGATCAGATTGATTGCCCTCCCTGCTTTTCCCATCAGTCATTTCTTACCCGATTATGCAGCCAGAGAGGGGTGGGGAGGGAGGGAGAGAGATGCATTTATCATTCTGAAACATGAAGAAGAAGAAAAATCAGTTGAGTATCTGCCTGGGGCCACATAAGTCTCCAAGTTCTCTTTCTTGCCAATGTGCTGAAACATTGTTGCACCCGACAATGGAGGTCGTCAGGGCAGACAATAGGAAACATGAGTAAGCAGTTTCACTCCTTACCTTCACGTTGTGTGTGTCACTGTGTTTACAAGGCTAAATGATAACGTGGATAAACAATGAATTCTGAATTCAGCAAGACAGCCAACTTCCCAAGGCAGCTGATATCTTCCTACTTGAATGGTAATTTCCTAACTTATTTAACTGTCAGGAATTTGAGCTAACTGTGCTGTTCCACCACCTGCTTCTTGTTGCTGGGTGTAATTCCCAGAAATGAAATGACCGGGCTCTTCCTAGAACAAAGAAGCCATCTGTCAATCACCTTTCTTGCATTAGATGCATGAAAAGTGATCATCAGGTATATATATGCACATGGGTCTATAGAGCGGATTCCCCAACTTTGGGATATAGAGGGAAATGTAAACAGTGAGGTCAGATGGAAAGAAACGGGTGTTTGTGTGGAATACACCCTGTGACTATTCTGTTAACAGCTTAAATGTTTGCAAAATAAGCACAGTGGTTTTCTATCCCCCCCCCCAAGGTGCTAATTACATTAGCAATGCTAGGATATCTGCGCTATCATCAATTACTGCTGTTGTGAATGGTCACTGTGCTTATTTTGCCCAGAGGAGAGAAATGAAGCCTATGTAATCATTCTAATAGATCCAGAGGAAATACTTGTAACATTTAAAATGAACACAAGGTCACAAACCGCATCTTCACCACAGAATATAGAAGACACTGAGGGTGTCGTTTTAAACTACTGCCAGCTGAAGCACAGTCCCTCCTTTTTTCCATTTGTCATAAACCCATACATGGCCTTAACTTGCCCTCTGACTTAACAGGGTCCAACAATTACAGCATAGGAAAAAGAACATTTGCTGTTTAAATATGTTTAAGGAACAGTGACCTCCATCTCACAGGTTGGTCAATCATTTGATTTCATTGCAGGGTAATATATGGAACTGTCTTGTGCTGAGTTAAATCACTGGACCATCTAGCCTGGTACTGTCTATCATTGGCAGCTGGTAACATTTTGGACTTGGTAGGGCTGTCATTTTTATCACTGCTATCACAATAGGACTTGTACAGCACTGATTTCGGAAAGTGTGTCATTACACATATGCATAGTGATGGCGCTTTGCACATGTATGGACAGAGGAAGAGTTAGCATGTAAGAGGGTCCAATTGTGATTTCCTGACCAGATTGACCCCATACCTCTTATTTTGAAATTAAGCCCTGCCACATGACATAAGTTTTAGAATTCATATATTGCTTTATACCTACATATCCAAGGCTAAAAAACTAAACAAACACACACATTTAAAAGGTAAAAAAAGCATGCTTCCAGATTTCCTCCCCCAAAATACATAAATTTAACTTTTTATTATCCAAAACACTTTTTTCTCTAAATTAAAAGAACAAAGAATTCTATGGAATTCACAGTCTAACAAACTAAAACACAATACATAAGAAATAAAAGCAGTGATTAAGAGACAATTACAAAGTGTGCTGTTTCTAGCACAATGCACAACAATTGCTACAATAGGCGAAAGAACAAGAATTACGTAAGTGATCCAGCAGGACCCTCAGCAATTTTCAAGTGGTTGGTGGTGGTGGGAGGAGGAATTTGGGAACTGTTTCTATCATATATTTGTTAGTCTTCGAAGTAAAGTGAAGTTTTTGCCACCAGTGACTAACTCAGCTACCCATCTTGTTACCACCCAAATAAGTGTACCCAAATAATTCTGTGCAACTCAGTGGCTTCCTACATTGTGAATGCTTAGTTGGCCTAATGAAATCATCACTTTCCTTTTACTTGTTCTTTCTTCTTTGTTGCATGTGAATCACATGACTACCAGGACTTTAGCACTGCTTTGTATGAAAGGACACCATTCCCTGGAAAAGTAGCTCTTAGGTCTGACTCATTTCAATAGTGTCAGAAGGATGTCTCGGCAGATTGTACCTGAGTGATCTGAAAGAGCTTGTGAACATAAATCAACTTTCCAAAGCAAAATTATCATTCGCACCTAGATCACACATTTCTGCTTTCTGTGGGAACATGTGCAGCGCTACTGGAGGAAATTTTAGGAAATCTTTAGAGGGAATGACTCTAGCAGTGATACTTGAAATGGTTCACAGTTCACACCTATGTTTCTCTGCCCCACCCACCTGCCCTGAGAAATAGCTGGTTTGTAAATGCACACAAAAAGTTCAAAAGTGCAAGAGGATCATGTTTTCAGCAAGCGTTTGTTTTTTTTTCTCCTTTGGATGCAAGGACAATGGAATAGAAACCCGGACAAATCTGTCTCTTTTTTGGCCATGAAATCCTAGTACCATGTTATGCTTCACTTCCTGCTTGTGGATATTTAAAAGGCACCATTGCACAAAGCCCATGGGCTTGGCAATAGCTAATCTCTTTAAAGGAGCAGATGGCCAGTGCCCAAATTACGTTTTTTATTATTATTTTTCTGATCCCTGGAACAACTCATGTCTAAAGTTTGGTTATGAAAGGATCCAAATACCAATTTCCATTTGACGGTTACTCCTAAACTCTAACTGCCCCTTTTTGCTTTCAAGATTCTTTTAGCAATTGTGGTTTTAAGTGGGTCTTTTTGCCATGGACTAACACAGATTACAGTGGTACCTCAGGTTACATACGCTTCAGGTTACAGATTCCACTAACCCAGAAATAGTGCTTCAGGTTAAGAACTTTGCTTCAGGATGAGAACAGAAATCATGCTCTGGCGGCATGGCGGCAGCAGGAGGCCCCATTAGCTAAAGTGGTGCTTCAGGTTAAGAACAGTTTCAGGTTAAGAACGGACCTCCGGAACGAATTAAGTACTTAACCCGAGGTACCACTGTACTCACCTACTGGGATATAGGATCTCAGCCATATAAGAAACAGGAAAAGGTGGAAGTGATGTTACTGTGTCCTGAGATGGTACTGCTTTGTAATGCAGGTGGAGATGTTTGTGTCTTGTTGATCTGTACAACTCCAGTATTTGTGTATACAGGTGCAAACACTGCACACCCATGGAATGTAACACGTAAACACCCAAATGCTCATTCCTGACTTCCCAAACCCATAGGTTAGCAAGTTAGGATTGTTCACATCTGAACCTGCTCTGTAGGAAGATCAGATGCCGAGCCTTATACTGAGTCAGTCCAATGGCTTGTCTGTCACAGTACTACCAGCCCTGAGTGACAGATTTTCTCTGGAGCCTGCGACAGAAATGTTTCACAGCCCTACTACCTCAGAGGCTTGGGATTGAATTTGCAGCTTTTTAAACACAAGCTGGGGATTGAACTTGCAGCTTCCTATATTCAAAGCTGACTTGCTGCTGGGGCCCCTCCCCTGTGGAGCTCTGACCTCTCCCAGTCTCAGTGAAGAAATCCAGTTGGGAATCATTAATCCAAAAACAGCTCTGCTGTAAAACCCAGATACTTTGGGCTTAAACAGAAAAAAGAGTTATAGTCAGAAGTGAGCTACTTTTATGAGTATGGGGGAAAGAGGGGGACAAGCAACCCAAAAGAGTCAGAATCCTATGACTTTGGTGTAAAATGGAATTCAGTTTTAACATAGCAGCTGTTGGAATCCATGTGTGTGAAGGCATTTCATTATACAGAACAGTCGATAACATTCTTACGTATAAAATATTTCAGCTGGCGGGGGGGGGGGGGAGCAAAGTAGGAGACTTACATGGACCATCAAACCCTGCCAGTGAATTCCAAAACTGCTGAGAACAAAGCACACTTCACTGGGGACCTGCTGGTTGCTATCGTCGACTGAGCCACTTACGGCAGGAATCTAAATAAATATATGGAACTCGGCCGTTCCTTTCTGTGAAATGTCTTGGCTGCAGCGTGTGCAGGTCAATTTCGGCAGTGTGCTCCTGCTACCTTGCTGTTTCAGTAATGCAAAGCAACTGTAAATCTGCCCTAATTGGGTCAATGGCTGTTTTGCACCACTGGAGCAGCCTAGAAAGGCCTGGGCATTCTCTAAATCCTGACCATACATCTACCACATCTTGACATGGTTCTTTTGGCTGCCAAGTGTTTAAACAGATAAATTCCTACCTCCCCCTCCCCCCCGGGGTTGTTGCCTTTTTAAAGAAAAATGTACAATGGGTTAGTAAAATAGCAGCCATTTCTGTTTCTTTCAGTGCTGAATACTCCTCTCCTCTTGGCATCAGACCCTTTTTCAAAGCTATACATACATACCTATTCGACTTGATTGAAACAAAACTGCTCAGCTTGAACTTTCGGTTTCAAAGCTCTGCCTTGAATGGTGCATTGCTAGAAGGTAACTGCTTTCACTGTTTAGAGCTGATGATGAATAAGCTGCACCATTGTTCACTTTCATTATAAACACACACACAAAAGACCACATAGAACAGAGAAACAGTCTATTTTCTAACATCAAACAATGTGACTCAATACAAGATTGCCTAAATGTTTCACGAGGTATCAAAGCTAAAGTCAGCTTGTTAAGCTACTGATGGGTGAATAAAACATCATTTTCCTTTTCTAATTATCTGACAGGAGAGAGGTTTCTGGGCAATGTTTTCAGATGTATTTGTTATTTGCGGAACCATTTGTTTTCCTTTGGTTATGTACTCATCGGGGGCACAGTCCAACAAGATGGTCCCCAATTTCAATGAACAGGAGATGCACGGTGTTCAATTCAACAGCATTTGCATAGACAATGTGCTGCAGGATTTCTCAGTTGCTCATTCTATTCACACAAAGAATAAGAAGAGGCCTGCTGGATGAGACCAAATGCCCATCTAGTGTATGGTTACCAGGTTTTTTTCAATGAATCCGGGATATCAGGGGACCCTTTTTTTTTTTTTTTTGGAAGCTGAGTAGCAACAGGGAGTCAGTAGTGGGGATGGTGAGGCAAAAGATCCTAGGCCCAAGCACACATTCATATTGTACGAAGGTGCAAAGCCCTTCTTTCACACCCTGTGAAACATAAATGCGCAGAGTTTTTTTAAAAATTGGGCAACGGCGGGCCACCCACCCATGATTCCTGAGCCTTCCCTGATCTCCTTCCCCTTTTGTTTTGACAAATCAGAGGAGGCTTGGGAGTCACGGGCGGGTGGCCGTTGCCCAGGAGGGGCCAATCTGGAAGTGCAGTTAGCTCTGGCTGGCTTCAGGTACTGCTTGCTGCTGTGGCACAGGTAAAATGGCAGGCACCATGGCAGCGAGTGGTGAGCAGCTCCTGAAGCCAGCCAGAACCAACTGTGCTACCAGGCTGGCTCCAGGCTGCTGAGTCTGCCGCTGCCACATTTCCTGGGGACAGATTTGCAAATCTGGGGACATTCTGGGGACGGAATTTGTCCAGGGACAGATATGCAAATCCAGGGACTGTCCCCGGAAACCGGGGACGTCTGGTAACCTTAATCTAGTACAGCATCGGTGACAAAACAGTTGCCCATGGGAAGCCCATGAGCAGGAGACAAGTGTACCTGCATTCTCCCCACTTGTGATTCCTAGCAACTGGTCTTCAGAGGCAGGCTGCCTCTGATCCCCAAGGTAATAGGCAGCCACCATCCCTAGTAGTCACTGATAGCCTGATCCTCCATAAATTCATCTAAGCCCCATTTAAAGCCAGCCAATTGATGGCCATCATGGCATCTTGTAATTCTATAGTTTCCTTATGCACTGTTTAAATACATATTTTCTTTTGTCTGTCCTGCTCTCCCAACACGCAGCCTCATTAGATGACCCCTGGCTTCTAATACTATATAAGAGGGAGAAAAACTTACCTATATCCACTTTTTCCACACCATACATAATGCTGGACACCTCTCTCATATCCCCACTTGCCCATCTTTTTTCCTAAACTAAAATGTCACAAATGGTGCAACCTTTCCCCACAGAGCAGCTGTTTCAGTGCCATAATGATTTTGCATGCCCTTTTCTGAACCTTTTCCAGCTCAACAGTATCCTTTTTAAGATGCAATGGTCAGGCCTGTACACAATATGCCAAGCGCACACCATAATTTGTATAATGGCATTATTATATTGGCAGTTTTATTTTTAATCCCTTTCCTAATGGTACCTAATATGGAATTCACCTTTTTCAAAGCTGCTGCACACTCAGTTGACATTTTCATTGAACCCATCATGACCCCAAGATTTCTTTTCTGGTCAGTCACTGCCTGTTCACACCCTGTAAATGCCCATGTTAAGATTTATTTATTTTTGTCCCAGTGTGCATCACTCAGATTGCTTGCTTCACTTGCCGACACTGAATCTCATTTGCCATCTTGATGCCTATTCGCCCAGTTGGGAAAGATCCTTTCATGGCTCCTGGAAATATCTTTTTGTTCTTATCACCCTGAACAATTTATCAGCAATCATGGCCACTTCACTACTCACCCCCTAGCTCCAGAGCATTTATGAATAAGATAAATAGCACAGGCCCCAGTTCTGATCTTTGGGGGACTCCACTTCTTACATTCTTCTTTTGTGAGAACTGTCCATTTATTGTTATTATCCATTTCTTTCAACAGTTATTGTTCCATAAAAGGTGCCACCTTCTTACCTCATGACCGATTTTTAGTGCAACTGTCCATAGCTGTCAACTTTTCCCTTTTCTTGCGAGGAATCCTATTCGGAATAAGCGAATTTCCCTTAAAAAATGGGAAATGTTGACAGCTATGGACCTGTCTTGGCAAAAATCAAGTGAAGGCAATCTAAGTCATGTTTTGGTCTGCCATCTTGAATCAAAATGGCACCCTGCATCAAAACATCAATGAAGTCTGTCACCCCCACCCCATGAACCCTCATTTAATGTTTGGTGACGATATATTGAGAGGCAGCTAAAGCCATGCCCCAAAATGGGTGGTCACACCAAAGTCATCTAGATTCAAAATGGAACCTGGTACCCAAATGCCAAACATCCTTGCTTGTTGGTTCACATGATGGAAAGAGGCCTTGGTAACCCCTCCTCCCAAGGTAAGGAGTGTGACCTAGCTAAGCTTGGCAGGACACCTTACTCTATGGTCTTAACCCCTTCATGCATTAATTAGTCTTAAGCATGTTGGCTATATGACGCTGATTTATCCCATGATCTCAAGAGGTGGCTGAACCTATAGAAAGCAAATGAACAAACCATTTCCCAAAATATATCGTAGATCCATACATGTCTGACATCTGACATCATGTATGGTGTCAGATGTGGGGCAGGTGGCTTTGGTTTCAGGGGAACAGCCTCATGGGGCAAATTGGGTCCCATGCTAGGTCTATTTTGTCCTCCGTGGGCTGGAGGTTCCCTACACTAAAGCATCACATGCAAGCCCTGACCAGGTTAGAACAGCATTCAGAATCATTTCCCCCTACTACCTGGGAAGAAGCTTGTGTAACTACTAAGTAGATGAGTTATTTTTTCCCCTATTTAAAAGGAAGAAAGATGGCATTCCTCTTTAATTCCCTGTCTTTTATGTTGTACAAATAACTAGCATTTATGGGTTACCATGCTATTCAAAAAGGCTTCGTCTTCTACCATTCAGCTCTCATGCAAGCCATCTATTCTTCCCACCCTTGCTTTGGCACGCACATCCCTTCTTAGAAACGGTTTCTTAAATAAAGCACAATCCCTGGCAGACTGTTTAGGAATGACTCTTGTGAGAAAGGCTATGTGAAAAGATAATGTGTGAGTGGAAGCGGTATCTTTGTGGTGAATTCATCTGCTGAAACAACTTGATTAAATGCAGATTTTTATCAAAGTAATCCAAGACCTTGTTCTTAAACATCTATTATTCCATTCCATCACAGATGTGTGCATAATGGCTCTATTTTTTCCCCCAAGAAAGGTTACTCTATTCACAGCAAGATATATAGCTGAATACCCTTAATTAGGAGATGTGTCTTTTTTTAACGCCCACAATCACCTTTTCCACTCAGAGTGGGAATTGCCCTGTCTTGTAATATGTGAATGACAGTCTAAAGAGAAGTTAACTTTAAACAAGGAGACAACGCAAATAAAATAAAATAAAAGTTCAGAAAAATAAAAGTTCTGGAGTTCCTTTTCTCCTATGCCAATGTATAAATGCTTTGAATCAAAATTTTAGATCTTCATTGATTATATGCTATCTTTGTTATGCTTCCCCTGCCTTACTTTTGTGTCCCTAAGTTCTAGGTTCTTAGATGTATGAATCACTTTACACAGTGTAGCCACAACTACACCGTGGCCTGCAACACCTTATATCACTCCTTCATTCTCACCATTACTCCCAGTGACTTCCTCTTTACAGTAACACACCACCACCCACTCCCCAGCCTTTCTGTTAATTCCACACAATTACCCTTGTTGTGAGCCAAGAGCTTCTCCTTGTACATTTGTACACTTACACACTTGGTCAGTAAGATGGGTGTCCACCAGGGAGTAGTCCTTCTCTATGGTTTCCCCTTGGCTGTTGACCCCCACTGAACATGTGCCAAATCTCTTTGAGGGTTTTTTCCTACAATCAAACGGTATATACATTTTATGAAATAAATAAAACAAATTTTTATGCTGCCAGCTTTTTCGAGGGCCTTGAAAACTTACTTTTTTTTAACTGGCCTTCCAGACTTGATGTTCATTAGCTGGAAGACACTCTGCCACAATTATGTACTTTCTGATTATGTAAAAGTTTTACTATTACTATTATAATTTTATTTTGTACTATTTTAAAATTTTGAATTATTTTTATATTATATTTTTATTTTAAGATGCTTTTAACATGCACTTGCCTGGAAAAGCAGTGTTAAAATATCTTAAATAAAAATAATAAAGGGTGTCATTAAAGCATTCTGGATAAATAAATGAAGTGCCTGATTTTGTCAGTGGAATGTTATTGTGAATATGGTGCTGGCCGACTAGCGGTGACACACTGTCAATGGTGGCATCACAGCAAATAGACCCCACCCCAGAATCAGCTTCAGCTATGGCAAAGTTATTGCATATAATGGGTGGGGCTAGCTGACCAAATCTTCTGGTTCCGTCAAAAGGCTGCTGTTCTCCAGGTGCAGCAGAAAAGGGTTGGGGAAGCTAAGGTTGGCACCCATTTTAGCTTAGTGTGGCTTTTATTGACAATTACCCAGGAGTAACAATGGACAAGGTGTTTATTTGAGGAACCATGAAAACAGATTGATATTTAATTGCAGTATGTAATGAATGTGATTAGAAGGAGTAATCTGTTAAACCCGTTCCCACCCTGTCCATCTCCTCTACTCTCCACCCTCTTCCTCTTCCAACTCCCCTCTACTCTCCACCTGCTTTCTCTTGACATAAAAATCCTAACACCTCCCCAATTGTCATGCTATGCTCCTTTCAACTCTCTCTCCCACTTAGTATTCCCCAGCCCAAGTAGTTTCCTTCCTCCTCTCCTCCAAAAACAAATTCCAAATGTGGTTCACCACAGAGCTGTATGAATGGCAGGCTTTATTATTTATTGTTAGATATGCCTAAAATGATGCAACGATCCCTATGAGAAGAGCATTAAAATAACTATTTTTATGTATATGAGACCTACAATTCACCTAATACAGCTAGTGCAATTTTATATACAAAAGGCTCGTAAAAGATGAAGTGCAAAACTATAGATCTTGACTAGCTCAAACACTGCAAGAAGCAAATTATTTTGCTTCAAATTATCTGCCTGCTATGCTATACTATCTGGCAGGCAGAACTTTCATGTGAGTTTTTAAATAAGAGAATCTGCTTCCCTTTATCTCAGACTATTATCTGTGGTGTATCTAGGGCACTAGTGACAATGGCAGATAAGCTTTACTGTAGTTACACTGAATTTATCAAACAAGACAAAGCCAATGTCTAGGGCTGCAATTTTTTTCCATGCTAAATTGCTCTTTTCACCGTAGAATCTTGCATAATTCACAGGACATTGTCCAAATCATAGAAATTTCACATCCCAGTGTAAAGTATTTATTGTGATGGGGGAAAGGGTTTCTGACAATTTAAAAGGAATTTGTGACAGCTGTCAACAAGGCAGCACATATGATGTGTCAGACTTGCGAAAAGAATATTATTATTTTAAAAAGATAATGTGTTGTAACAAAGATGCTCCCTTCAACTCCTCTGATAAGCCCCCTCACCTGTGCGCTTTTTAAGGGGTATGCTGAGACAAATACAATACCTACATATAAATTTGCTGAACACATTAAGAGTCTGAGTTACAACTGGCTATATACACTCAATAGATTATCACTTTGCAGATGACATAGTGAAAGCATGGGGTGTAGTCAGATCTTGCATGCGAAATGAAAATGCATTTGGATATCTGAAGAGAGCCTAGGCAAATTCATCGGATGATCTGAAGGGTGTGCTGATTACCTGGCTTGTGGGAGTAGCTGGGTGTAGGGATGCCAAAAAAGAATGTCAAAAACGCCAGATTGATCAGCTCTAGTGCTTTATTAAAGAAAGGTGCAGTTTTACAGCAAATCACCTTGCTAGATCTCCCAGCCTTTACAGACACGGAACAGACACCGCAGCAAGAAGATGGCTTGTCCACATCCAAGCAAACATTCATAAATTATTTTTACACAAAGCAGCATACGTCGCTTTGGCCAGGACTTCCCATCACTTCACCTGACCAGATGAGGACATAGGTGGCAAATACCCAAACTTGCAGATAGTGCCCCTTTCTGGGCTCAGAACCCAGCACCCTAAGCTAAGGATAACATCAAAGGTAGCTAATTAGTTTATATCAAAGCGAGTGAATATAAACATATATGAGCTCATTGCTTCCTACCAATTAATTGTGGGGTTATCTTGACTACCAAGACGGTGTCTGCAGAGCTTCCAAAACAGTTCACCTTTGGTTCAACACAATAGGTGGCAGTAGCAGTGTATGTGATGGAGTGGAGCCGACACTGGCATCCCTAAGGTTTATCTGGATGGGGCAGGGTGGCAGCAAGATTGTAGCTTCGTGGGGGCACTGGGGTGAGTGTTAGGTTGGCTCAACCAGCGCACCTGCACAGCCCTGAATTTGCCACCCTGGCCCACCCCAGCCCTATCAGCTGATGTTGAGAGGGCAGCTCTGCCCCAGCACATGGACCACTCCAGTCCTGGAGAGGGAACGTCACACAACTCAAATATGTAAAGTAAGTTCTTGTAGCTTTGGATGCCATTCTTTTCTCTCAAAAATGTTTACTTATATTGGACAGAAAGCAATCTTTGAATCAGATTGAGAAAGGCCCTCAGGGTCTCAGATTCTCCATCATCTTAGACTTTCTAAGTAGTGGGACATGGCGAGCTGGTTTCCTAATGCAACGTTAAGACAAACTAATTAATAATGCAAACCAATGCATATTTACCTGTAGATAAACTGTGGGTCTAGTCCCCCTGTCCACAATATACAAACACTGAACATCTGAAAAGCTCTTATGTCAATTGAGCAAAAATGTTTATATATCTAGACCTAAATCTCTTCAGCATCTGAGTGATTTACCCATGCTGAAGATATACATTCTGAGTAGAAAGCTTGACTCCCAGGCCCAGCACTGCTCCTTCTCTGTCCCTAGCTGTAAGTGCGAAAAGAGTATTCTATAAAACTGAAGCCCAGCATATTCCTAAGAGCAGAAGAAAAACCCTGCTGGATCAAGTCGAAATCCCATACAGTCCAGCATCTTCTCACATTTGACCAACCAGATGCCAGTGAGAAGCCTCAACCATGACCTGAGTACAAAGGGGAAGCAATTCCCTGATTGTAAAAGGGAAGCATCTAAATATAGCAAAGGAAGTGGCTATGAAGGTTACGGACACCTTCTTTATAGAACTCCAGGAATTACTGTTGATTCTAAAATGCAGATTTTAAGTCTACCCTGACGTCACATCTGCTTTCAGAGATGACCACATGTAACACATTGTTCCCCATAAGGAAACTCCAATGTGTGAGCTCCTGCTCATGTGTAGGTGCTCCCTGCAGTTGGGACACCACCAGCACAACCAGGTGTCCCAGCTGTATAGTACTTCTGCACAGGAACAGGAGATCACATAATCAGGTCTCCATACAGCAACCAGGTGCAATATGCAGTTGTTGCAAGAAGACAGCATTATGTGGGCAGTCATCTTATTCTCCATGCATTTCCTCAGGAAGAGTTTGAGTGAGGGTAGAGCCTCGCATGTACACTGGTGGCCTCCATTCAGTGCTCTCCTGCACTCCCACTCAACACCACTTCAGCCCCACCCAGGTAAACAGGAGTGATGCCAGTGTCAGGAGGGCAGCTCTGCAACCCCATTGCACCACATGCACAGCTACAGTCAGGTGTGCTCAGTCTGGACCCAAATATAGGGGCATAACACTTGACGCTTAGTATAACTTGCGGCTAACTTGACAAATGGACCACAGCTTTCCACCTCCGTAGCTAGAATCCAAAGGTGCCAGACAAAGCTTCAAAGCGACGTGATATTTTGGAAGGTTATTTTCTCACACTTTGGGGATTAATTTGGAGCAAGAGAATTCCAGGCACATGTTGTTCATGCAATAGCATTTAGAAAGGGCTAGAGCAACTCTCAATTGCGTCAAAATTGGTCAAAGTACAGTCAGCTACCTTGTGAGCTTTTATCTGCCTCGGGTAATGTCAGGCTGATCAACTGCTGTGTGCATTTTGTAGCCTTGATTGCTGCTGAGAGAAAACTTTGCAGAAGTTCAAAACAAAACTTTTTTATTTTTTAAAAAAATAAGGAAAAGAAAAAAATCTTAAAACAAAAACCTTAACATTTTTAAGTGGGGGGCAGATTCTGATTTTATGAGGTGGAGACGTGAAAAATTGAGTTTAAGAAGATCCTGTACAATTTTATACCTGGAAGCTCTGGTTTGTATCCAATAGTGGCTTACCTATCAAGTCATGTTAGGGCATCTCTTTTTATGCCATTCTTTGCTATACACATAAGCCCCTAGCTTCTCCAAAAAGCTGCTCTAGAGGATGGGTAGACCCTCCAGAACAGAATGGGCGTTGCTCAGCTAAAGCTCTTTTTGCCAAGGCAAAGACACTCTATGTACCTATGTACAGTAGTACCTCGGGTTACATACGTTTCAGGTTACATACGCTTCAGGACTCCGCTAACCCAGAAATAGTACCTCGGGTTAAGAACTTTGCTTCAGGATGAGAACAGAAATCGTGCTCCAGTGGCGTGGCAGCAGCAGGAGGCCCCATTAGCTAAAGTGGTGCTTCAGGTTATGAACAATTTCAGGTTAAGAACTGACCTCCGGAACGAATTAAGTACTTAACCCGAGGTACCACTGTAGAGCTCTTCCAGCTCAGGGGGAGCCCCGATTGGGCTAAGAGGCATGGCCACAGCACACAGTGTTGGCGGTGTGACTAGGCCACGCAACCTCATGGAAACCTCCACACATTCTTTCAAAACATGGGGTGATCCTCCAAACATCTCCATTAATTTCAGAACACTCAGGTTTGTGATGGGGTTGCAAAAAGCAGATGTGACGTAATTAGAAAGAGAACCACCATCACTGGTTATGTATGCGATTCACAAGACCTTGAGATAATTACTGCCACTCTGCAGCTGACTGGAACTAATGACTGGCACAGATGATACCTGCCCCAGCAGTAGCCCATCCCTGGAGATGCCATTCATAATGGCTTCCCTTTCAGTTGATGAGGCAGTGCTGTGTGCCAGATTACTTAGGATTCAATTCTTGCTATACAGATATGTTTGCCATTCCCCCATTCCAAAGCAGTGTTTTTAATTAACTTGCTGAAAGTTGGTGCTAATGAAAATTGACAGGGAGAGAGATTTATTCCAGACACAGGATGGGTACGTTGAGTTCTAATCTTAACTCTGATATTGACTTCATTTCAACTCATTTAGCCCAAGGTGGATAAAAATCACCTGGGTTTCTTGGTTAATTGATTTTTGAAGAAAAATTAATCAGATTTTTTAAAAATTGCTTAACTTCAGTTATAGTGTGTCTTGCAAGTAACTTGTTTTAAATGCATATCTCAATGTGATATAAACAAAACATATTCAAGTCTACATTCCTGACCTCTTCAGCTGAATCCATGAGGCTCTATCAAATGCAATGTCTCAATCCACACATAGTCCCAAGCCATGATTAAGGAAGCTTAACTACTGTTTCCCCTTCATGGATCACTGCCTTGTCATCGTGAAGGGGCTTGAATAACTCAGAGAAGCTATGAGCTATGCTGTGCAGGGCCACCCAAGATGGACAGGTCATAGTGGAGAGTTTTGACCAAACGTGATCCACCTGGAGAAGGAACTGGCAAACCAGTATTTTGCCAAGAAAACTCCATGGACATAAAAAAGGAGAAGCTTTGAGAAGAAAGTGAGAGTTTCAAAGGCATGCTCTGGTTTATGGGGTCACGGAGAGTCGAACACGACTAAGACGACTAAACAACAACAGCAACAAACTACTGTTCGGTGCAGAAGTGACTATTCAAGAAATGACTATCACCCTCCTGGTAGTGGCATTGCTGTTGCTTACCAGGATAATGAGGGGGCTGAACAGGGTATGGTGAAGTTGAGATTGTGTGGATGCCCTGGCAGGGCCAATCCAGCACCGTTCCCAGTGCATCCACATAGTCCTGGTCTCACCACCATTCTGCTCCTCCACAGTCCCACTAAGCTGGCTAGACCTACCATGCCAGCCACTCCTGTTTGGTGAGATTCTGAACTGATAAACCATGACATGATCAGCCAACAAATCATAATTGAAAATCAAGATTTGAAATGCATCTGCAAACCATGGTTTGTACTAACTATGGCTCCATCTGTGCTATACCTGTAAAGCAGTATCATATCACTTCAACAGTCATGACTTTCCCCACAGTATCCTGGTAAGTGTAGTTTATGGGTGCTAAGAGCTGTTAGGAGACACACACCCTCATAGGGCTACATTTCTAGAGTTCCCTGGGAATAGGGATTGATGGTTAAATGTATGGTGTAGGTGGGGCCTGCAATTTGGCAGAATGATTGACATCTATTAATATCAGATCTTGCTCCTTCTATAGAGACTGGAGTGCTGAGTAATCAGAAAATCAAAACACAACAACAGTTCTAAATCATAGTTTACATGATTGTTTGGAAGGTCAAAACTGATTGTTTGGAAGGTCAAAACTAAACTATGGTTAGGCATGAATGATGGGTTTAGCATTGGGTCTGAATTATACTACTAAGCTAAAGACTGCTTGTCTTTGTAAAAACATGTAAAGAAACAAAAATGTTTGGTTCCTTGAAATGAGCATTATCACACAATAGAGTGTTTTTTGTTTTTTATTGACAATGAATTATTACATTTATTATCGGCATCCATATTAATATTTAGCAAACATTGCCTCCAGTTCCTCCAGCACCTTCCCTTCCTCATCCCTGGTGATTCCCAATCCATGTTTGAAATGCACTTCTTTTTTATTTGAGATTCATGACTACTCAAAAGTCTCATTGAGACCAACAGGACTTACTCCCAGGTATGTGGGTATAGACTTCAATCTAAGATTATCATCAATTTGTTTTTAACGTTTGATTTTATTGGTATTTTAATGACTATTTTATATTGTCTTATGCAAACTACTTAGAGGTTTCTGTCACTGAAGCAGTTATATGAATCTTCTAAAATAATAAATCAATGAATCATATCTATAGCACTTTGTGACTGTCAGCAAATGCTTTCAAGAAATTTTCTCAGTAACAAGAATTTTGTGAAGTAGGTTGTTGATTCCAAACTAAAACCATAAATGAGTGAAACTTGATTGCTGTTACCTGGATAGTCAGTGCCGGATTTATGTATAAGCTAAACAAGCTGTAGCTTAGGGCCACACTCTCTTGGGGGGGCCCAAAAAAAAATAATGGAAAAAAACTGGATGTACATTTCCAAAATATAAGATAAAAAACAAAAAACAACCTACATACAGCAACAGTGTTTTGTGTTGTGTAGGCTCCTATGATGTAAGTAATGGGGATATATAGCACATACTCAACACAAAAAACAGTGGCAATTTGTTGTTGACAAAGGACAGCTGGACATAGAAAGGACCCCATTACCTTCAGTAGCTTAGGGCCTCATCAAACCTAAATCCAGCCCTGTGGATAGTTTATCACTGAACAAAGAACTGAAACTAAGTCTTGCACATCCCCATGGTATTATTATATAGTACACTGCATCCACTTGCAGCTGTTGCCCAAAATATTTGAGGAAGAACAATATCAGTCATTTCAACCATCTCAAAAGTGACCAAGTACTTATATAAAACATCCAAATCCATGAGACAGTCAAAAGAAAAATGTGACATGAAAGAAGCAGGTTATACATCCAACTTTTTTGTCCAAATAGTATTTGAGGAAAGATGCAGAGTTGTCTGGACAACCTCATGATTCATCTCCATTGCCATCTCTTAGAGAAATGAGCCATCTTGGCTCATTAACTCATAAATGATCCCATTTTATATAATTGTGATGACCCACTGACCTGTAGCCTAGCCACTCAGATAAAGACACAATGTAGTGATGACAGATGATTTTAATCCCATTTTCTGCCTTCTCGACAGGATTTATGTAAGTATTCCTGGCCTGTTTTCCATGCTATATTTAAAGCAATTAATATTTCAATCCATCTAATAAGCCTGTGTACTAAAGCACACCAGGTTTTCATATGTCCATATATTGTCAGGTAGCCAAAGATAGATACATAATTGAAAGGTGTGTGGGGAGTCTCATGTTCTCCTGATTCTTTGAGTGCAAAAATGTTGAATTAATATCCCACTCTTCTGAATATGTATTTCTCAGAGTTCCAAATCAGGGATGCTGGTGTGTTTAGGTATTTGGGGTGTGGGAGAACAGAGTGGGGAAATATGTGGTATAGCAGCTAGATTGCTGAACTATGATCTGGGAGACGAGCTCTGCACTCAACCATTAAGTCCACTGGGTGACCTGGGACCAGGGACCGTCTCTCAGCGTAACCATCTTCACAGGATTGCAATAAGAATAAAAAGAAAAGTTTGTGTGTATAGCACCATGTGCTCCTTGGAGAAAACATGGGATATAAATGTAATAACAAATTAAAGATGAATCAATATGTGGTTCCTTGCTTTAGGGGCCTTCAGGTAAAAAAAAGTATATAAATAAACTATAACATAATGCATACCAACTTACCCAGACGTAAGTCCCCTTGAATTCAGTAGGACTTACTTCTGAGTGACATGTATAGGATTGGACTTTTGTGGACTAGGTTTATGCAGGGCTAGATTAACCATTAAGCAAAATAAGCACGTGCTTAGGGCATCAAGGGAAGAGGGGCACCACATAAATTTTTCATTGGCGGATTTTTAACATTAATGATCACAAAATAGCTCAGCTGAGTGTTCATTTCCTCAATTGAAGTATGTTTAAAAATTCCCAACTGAACAACTATGCAACAAGGCAGGCTGGATTCCTTACCTCTACTAAGTATGGAAGCAGATGTGTTACATAAGATTAGCTTTGAGGATCTGATCAAAGACTTTGCAATTAGAAAAAGTAGAAGTCTTTTTCAAATACATTTAAATAAAGTGGAAGTATTCAAAAATAAACATTATTATCAATCTTACTGTAGGTTTTGTTTCATTTCAGGCGGGAATCATTTTGCAGTTTATTATTTCTCATATTTTGAATTAGATATATATGGGGGCACCAACATATTTTACATGCTTGCGGCCTTTAAAGTTCTTAATCCGGCCCTGGCTTTTGGATAGGATTATGTTTTTGTGGACTGACCACATAGGGTGTTATCCTCTGCACAGTTGGCACAAACACAAAGGCACACAGGGGAAGGAGAGAGAGAGAGAGAGAGAGAGAGAGAGAGAGAGAGAGGAGGACTAAAAGGTCAGGAAATGCAGGACTATGTGACACTTCTATGCAAAGCACAAATATATACAAGGTAAATACAGTAACTATTCACAACACAGTAATGGGAGATAACCCAATCTTCCTAGGTAAGGAAGGAGATAAAGTGTTAATTAAATGCAATTAGCCACTTCCTGATTAACAATGGGCTTTGAGGTAAGTGGTGAAGAAGCTTCATCAACTTGTTTGTTCTGCTTTCAATGGAGTCCAATAGCACCTTGGATGAGTAGAATCCAGCATTTAAATACGCAAATGGCATCAGGTACCAGAAAAGTATGTAATTATAAAGGTAAAGGGACCCGTGACCTTTAGGTCCAGTCGCAGATGACTCTGGGGTTGCGGTGCTCATCTCGCAACTGCAAAATCTGAATCACTGCAGATACTTATTCTTCTACAAGGAAATACTTCCACATCTAATAACCACCAGTGTTGATTCTTCTTTGTGTAACTAGCTAAGACCATTGCACTATAAATTCCAACTGGAGCAAAAGCAAAATTCTTCTGCTGCTTGAAGTTCATCAGACATTTTCAACTCTTCAGATGCAATTATTTTCCGATGAACAAATTACATGGATTTAGTATCCTGCCACGTTTTCTAGAGTTTGCATAAAGAATGTGCTAGGCTTTGTGCATTTCTGCGTTGGTGCTGTTGGATAAAAATAGAAACTGCTGAATTAAAGTGGACACGTTATACATTATATTTTGAACTAATAAACTGGTTCTCAGATACAAAATACACACCAAGGGTACCGGTAATAAATATGTAACCTGTACCCAACTAGGCATTTTAAGCAGCTTGCAGAATTCTGAAAAAGACAATAAAAAAATCAAAACACATTACATATTAAAAATTAAAAAGTGAATAGACGCAACAGCAAAGCATAATAAAAAGCAGCAACAAACTAAAAACCAGCGGGGCAGGGGCTGTTGCTGAACTACAACTTTCAGCATCCTTGATTATTCATAGAATCATAGAATTGCAGAGTTGGGGGGACACTAAGGATCATCTAGTCCCACACCCTGCAATGCCAGAATCTCACCTAAAGCTGTAGTCAGGTCTGAAGGGTTCCCCATACCTGGCCAAAGGGAAAAGGAAAACCTTAGCAAAGATAAACCCTTAGTTTATTAACTCACTGCTCAGTAATTGGCTGCTTTATTTCTGACCCCAGTTACAAAATCTGTTGGAACCTATTGTGCTTCTGGTAAAATAATTGAGGGTGCAGCTGGGTCCATATCCTTTCTCCGTGAGTGAATGAATAAAATGGAAAGGAGATGGAAGTTCTTCTCTAGCTCAGATTGCAATCTAAGCAGGAAAAGAATTATGGGATTGGAGGTGAGCACTGATGAAACAGCAGGGGGACTTAAGGGGTTAATTCTGAGCATTACCCAGACATGGCACCACTACTGCAGCAAAGGGCCTGCCCCAAACATTCAGATGCAGATCATCCACCTGCACTTTCTCTGTCATTTAAAAAAACCACAAACCCACAAAAACCTTTACTCAGCAGTATTATCTGAAACTTTCCAATGCTTGGAATTAAGGAACATATTCCACTGAGGTCAGTAATAGGATTGTGTGTTTTTTTAAGACTAAGTGAGGTCTCCTTGCATAGTACACTCATGTATAACTTTTGATTCTTGCCTCCCCCAAATAAATACAATTTCGAGCAAGAAAGAATTAGTGCCCAACACACGAGTGTATTCCCCCCGCCCCAGATGAATCCTGCAATTTATAGACATGGACATCATTCATCAATGATGCTCTTTGCTTGTATTTTATAGTCAGGAATCAGTTCCTGCCTGCTGAATGTAACCCATGAAGCAGCCTTAAGTGTGACATGTAATTTAGTGCAATTTATCAAACAGAGTTTGGCTGACAGTCAATTACCACCACACCGAGTTTGCCTTATAAACAGAGACTAGATCTTACATAGGTTTGATTTCTAGAATTAAACCCTTGCAGCTATAGTCAGGGAGATTTTTCAAGTTTTTCAAGTTTTGAGGCTATTTGAGGGAGATTTGTTTGCTAGAGTTTTTATGTTTTTGACCTGCTGAATCCAAATTTGTCTGTATCTAAGCAACACACTTTAGTTTTGACCCTGAAACCAAGGATGACAGCAGCCAAGATGGTTGATGCCAATTGTTTTTCATCATAACTATGCCCTTACAGCTAAAAGTTTAACCATTTTTGATGAAATTTTGAGTGCAAGCCCTAACATTTATCCCAAACTTTGTAGAAGCCTAGGTTAAAGATTTACAAAAAGGTAGCCAACTGCATTTTATTTTTGGCAGCAATGCAAAATAATTGTTAAAAGAACTATTCTTGTCATTGAGTGTTAAATGATGCATCATTTCGAATATAAACCAGCCGTTTTTGACACTGCAAGGCTAAGGAAATGGAAATTTAAACATCCAAAATAGCTTCCAATAGTGCCACGTCTGAAATATATGTGCCATTTAGTGATCAGAACAACTATTAAGGATTTTAAACAACAGAAATAATTTTTGATATTAACTTACAACAACACTTCTCATTATTTGTATACCTGCTTTTATACATTGTATTAATCTTTTTGTTGTTCAGCCCAACATCTTTATATTTCCATGGCCTTTTGACAGAATCTAAACCAGCCAGAGGAAAAACTGGAATGCACATAAAGTGGGGGCCAAAATGGTGAAGACTGTACTTCACAAGAATATAATAAAAGCCTGCTGGTTCAGGCCAGCAGCCCATCTAGTCCAATATCCTGTTCTCACACCGGCCAGACGCCTGTGGGAAACCCGTGGGGACACAAGTGTATCAGACACAGAGCACTGGTTTTTCCTTCAATAAAACATGTCATTCTAAACATATGAGTGCAGTGCATCCCCATTGTGGATAAGCTGACTCTCCACTTTGGGGCTGTGGGACTCATAGGTCAGAGAGCTCCTTATACTACTACCAAAAATAGTGTCCCAGGACACAGTATTTGCACATATCATAGCATATGTGCAAATATCTGCTACAATCCTGTGCAGAATTATGTTCAAATAAGACACACTGGACAGATGCTTATATCTCAGTGAACATGCATAGGACTGGGCTGAATTTTATATAAGGACTGGCCCTGTGGCATGCACAGCCCTGTCTTCCCCTGGGGACTCAGAAGGAACAGCTGGGGAAGCTGCTGCCTTGGCTTACCTAATGGCAGGGCCATCTCCAATCTCCCATATATATATATATATATATATATATATATATATATATATATAATCTTGCAGTACAAGAATATAATAAGCACATTTTTCTCATTGCCATTTTTAAAAACAACTGAATCATTCCAGCAATCGTTTCCCAGTTACAAAATGTACCTCATTATTTTAAACTGATAAATAATCAAGTTTGCACATAGTCAATGCAGGATTTTAAATTGCTCATGAAATGAATTAAATCAAGTGCATTATTATTTTTAATAAGGGAACTGTTGAAAGCTGTTCACTTTACTAAGGTCTCTCCTTTATTAAATTCTGTTTTGTTTTTCATTGGAAGGCAAAGAAACCTGCCCTGAACTTTACAGTTATAGATGATACCCTTCCCTCTCATTACTGGGGATGATGAGCAATTTTCAATCCTTGAAAACAAGAAGAATCAATATAAAGCTCCAGTAAACAGAAAGCCGCTTTGTAGGCACTTTGTAGGCTATGTTGGTGTTTTTGTCTTCATTTCAGTAGATTGAAATCTTGTACATAACTTGTTTAATTTATTTATTTGATGCAGCAATGGCTGATGCCCATGCAGGAGTGGTAGAATGGAAGCCCAGGAGAAAGACAAGGAGTCAGTGAATCCGCAGCCGATGACAGGCTGAGCCAATTCATTCTGGTTTTGCCCTCATCTGCCTCCCTATTGAGTTCTGCAAAGGAGGGGAAAGCGGACAGCCAGTGCCATACCCTGAACTGGTTGTACGAAAGCAGGCAGGTGGGGGATGGCTGAGGGCAGGCTAAGGTTGGTGGGACAGCACCCCATTCATCATAATGGACCAGACTGCACTGATTTAATGGATTAAAAAACAACAACACCCAGAACTTTCAGGATCAATTATCCTCCCAAGGTGGTCAGCAAATCAATATAATGATTACACAAAAACAATAAAATATCAAAATAACATAGCAAATAAGTAAATAGGACAAATAAAATGGATTATAAATTTGGCAACAGTGAAAACATTAAAATAGAAGCACTGGATAAAATAAACACACACCATTAGTCATCCCAAAGTAGAAAAAAAAAAGCATCATTCTTAAAGCCCTGGAGGCCAACAAGGAAGAGACCAAACATGTTTTAAGCTTTAAATTATTAGATAGATGATAGATTACATAATTAAAAAGTTTACCTTCTTTATATATGCTTCACTGATGTATTTTTTGTGATCCACAATGGATGCTTCTATTTAGTTTCTGATCTGACTCATGCAGGCACTTTTAATGGAATGAAGCGATGGTATTTTTTACAGGCAAATAGCACCATGGCATCTTAGAGATGAAATGGTTTGTGAGGGTTATATACACAAAATCCTTGCATTATAACGGGGGCAAGGAAAATCAAATAAATGGCAAATGCAATGTACAAAATATGGATTGACATTCTTTCTAATAGCCAATATATGAAGACAATGTCTCACTAAACCCAGCATTTTTTGCTTCCCTGCTCTAAATGCAATATGATTTGTAAGCTTTCCTATGAGCACAGCGTCCAAACATACCAGGATTTTAAATTTGTTTCTCAGTAATAGTCAGTGCTTATATTTGCAGAGGACCAGAGAAAGAATGGATTTCTGCTTATGTAAGTCTTCTTGGAAGTTCAGTGGAGCTTACTCCCAGGTAATTGCATATAGGATTATAGCCTCTGTGCTATATACTCAAGTTCTGCCAACTAAGGCATAGAGCACTTGACTAAAGCCCCACTGAATGACAGTAACACCTAATGCACAGCCACTATGACAGATATACCAGTGGAACATCTCAGGTTTGCCCCTGAAGATATTGTCAGATCACGGAATGTATCCAGGATACAGGAACACAAGGAACACCTTTACACTGAGTCAGACCATTGGAACAGCTTCACATTGGGCAAAGGATTCCTGCAGTGCAGGAGTTTGGACTAGATGACCCTCGTGGTCTCTTCCAACTCTACAATCCTATGAATGGGTACGTGAATGTGTCTGAGTTAGACTATGAATGTAGTCTATCTGGTTAAGTACAGTGGTGCCTCGCAAGACGAAATTAATTCGTTCTGCGAGTTTTTTTGTCTTGCGAATTTTTCGTCTTGCGAAGCACGGTTTCCCATAGGAATGCATTGAAAATCAATTAATGCGTTCCTATGGTCAAAAAAAGTCCAAACAAAGCCAAATTTGGTACAAAAAGAGTTTATTAAGTGCTCTTTAAAGTCACACATACTGTAAAGAGCATTTCAAAAATTGAAGGAACAATAATTTAAGTTTCTAAACATGACAGAAAAGCATTTAAAAATCACCAAAGTGTACTGTACATACATTTTCTAAGACTCTGGGGGAGGTCTTTAAGCAGAGGCTTGACAACCATATGTCAGGAGTGCTCTGATGGTGTTTCCTGCTTGGCAGGGGGTTGGACTCGATGGCCCTTGTGGTCTCTTCCAACTCTATGATTCTATGAACTCGAAGAAGGTTCCTCTTCCACTCTTTGCTTCTAGCTGAAGAACCTGTCCATGGTCTGCTGCTTCACATCCAAAAAATTCAAAAGCACCAAACCTCCCAGAAAACACACAAGCTTCCAGATTCTTGCAAACCCCTTCTCAACAATTCCCTGACCCCCCCAGCCACCCACCACACAGAAATCCAAACCCAGAAATCTTTTTTTTTAACAACAGCAGAGTTGTGACCAATGGTCACAAAAAATCATAAAAATGCAGAAAAAAAACACAAGCTTCCAGATTCTTGCAAACCCCTCCCCAACACCAAGTCCTTGAATTCCAAACACCCCAACCCAAAATCCAAAAACCCCCCAAAAAAGTTTTAAAAGTTTAACTTACCAAATGGCTGCAAAAGAAGTTTTGGAAAAGCTTCAAAAATCACCAAAGTCTTCAAAAACCTCAAAAAAGGCTACCACGCCGCTTGCTATGAGTTGCTCCTCGAAGTCAAGTCGCAACTGCACCTCTTCAAGCAATGCACCCTGGGTATTAACGGTTTTAAGAAAAAGGAAACAAACTTGCAAGACGTTTTCGTCTTGCGAAGCAAGCCCATAGGTAAATTCGTCTTGCGAAGCAACTCGAAAAACCAAAAACTCTTTCGTCTTGCGAGTTTTTCGTCTTGCGAGGCATTCGTCTTGCGAGGTTACCACTGTATTATCTATTCACACTAGCAGAAGCTCTCCAGGATTTCAGACAGGGGTCACTCTCAGCCCTACATGCAGCTGCCGAGAAGTGAACCTTGGACCTTTCATATGCAAAGCATGTCTCCCTTATGACACAGCCCCTCCCAATAAGATAGGAAAACCTAGCCCCAATAGGACATAGCAGGCCCAAGTATCATTTCCCCTGTTAGCTGTATCAAAATAACTTGAGTAACAATTTTTTTAAAAAGCAATAAGAGGTAGTTCAGGTAATGGATGCATTCGTTTTTAAACAATTGGGTTTAGGGGAGAATGGAGCAAAGTTTCTCTGTCCTCTAGCACATCATCCATGGAGAATATTAACATCTTTAGAGCCCTTGGTTTAATATCCAGCATTTTAATTGCCTCAAAGACTGAGGTCAGCTGTGTGCCACAACAAGCAGCCATTTCTTTGGTGTTACAGGTTTGCGCTTGAGAGGTAACACTTTGTAGAACTCTAGTCAATGCCTAGTCAGAGGCGGGGGGGGGGGAGAGAATCAAAGCTGGGAAATTCAGCTCACCGCCAGGTTATTGCAATAAACACGTGCTTTACATTAAAGCAATGAAGCCCAGAATCTAATGCTTCCATTGGACAATAGATGCTGGTTGCTGGTTGCAACAGAGCTTGGCTGCTGGGCTTACTGTTTCAAGACCCATGGTGCATTTTTAAAGAAGTGAATGTACAAGTAATACAATCCTATGTTTACTTGGAAATAACTCCTACTGTATTGCAATAGAATTAACTCCTACAATGCTCAATTGCAGAGAAACCAAAGGGAGATGTTCCATGGCTTTCAAGTGTGTCCATGCTCTAAAATGACCTTTACAGACATCTTGCTAAGCTTATAGGAACAGAAATGGTAGCAAATGTGCCCATGCTCTTATTATGCTGTCTGTGCATCCTGCCTGTTTTCCCTGCTCCCCATTCTCAGAGTTCCCCATTCTGAGCTCTAAGTCTGCATGGATCACATGATACTGAGAGATATAGCACATGCCCTGCCATCTGAGCTCCTTATGCATAGCCTTGTATACTGATGGTTGCATGCTGTGATTAGTTACACCATACACATCCTATCAGTCCTGGTATTATAGATGGGGGTGGTTGACCCTGGGATGCCTTTTAAAAAATATAACTTAACTCCATTTGAAGACAATGGGTTGGAAAGTTCTGACCCAGACACTAGGCTTGAATCTCTAGTATCATGGGGGGGGGCTGCTTTCTGAAGGAGCATAGATTATGATTTCACTGTGCTACCCATATCCAGCCCATGATTCCTCCACCAGCATATATTCACTGGTGTAACAGCTTCCCCCACTGCTCAGGCCACATGTCTCATTGACCCTGCTCTGTACCTTCCTTGAATGCTTTTGCCTGGAAGGAATGTGTTCTTGAACTGTAACTATGCTTCTTCCTTGCCTGGGAAATACAGAAGTGTGGGTGGGACTTGTATAGAAACATCTGTCTTTGGCATGAGTGGAATGTAGGCTGCCATACAAAGGTAAGATTCACATCCACTGGTCCACCCACTTTTGTCTCTTGCATGTCCATGGGAAGTTGCCCTTGACTCTAGAAGGTTCTCCACCCTTGATCTACTCCAACTGACAACAGCTTTCCAAGGGCTCAAGCAGTAGTCTTTCCCATCACCTCTCCTTTGTAACTGGAGATGCCAGGGATTTAATTTGAGGCCTCCACCATGCAAAATATGATGTTGTACTACCACTGAGTTATGGCCCCTCCTGTTGCTGAAAGAGACTAAGCAGAAAGAGAATGCTGTGTGTTGACTCTTGGTGCCAAGAAAGAAGCCACCTGCTGGCTCATGCTAAAAAGATTAGGGGTGGCTGACATAAAAGCTGAGTAATTATTGACAATAAAGATTCCCCATTTGTACCCTATCATCTTCGACAATGTGCAGTTTTGAAATGATGGCAGGACATGAAAGAGTGGGTTGTCATCAAAGAGCTCTTCAGTCTAAAAGGTCTAGGAAGTGCTGAATTAGGTCCTGGGTTGTTCTGTTTCAAAAAGGTGTTTCTTGGCTGGTGGATCAGCTTATGGGAGTTGGGTGTGGAAAGGAAAAGGGAAGGGTTGCAGCATTTGAGGTGAAGACACAAAATGGAGGATGTGGCTTATGTGAGGCCCAGCGGGACTCCCTTTTGCTTAGTCTACTTTCACAACAGCATGTTTCCTGCTCAGCAGGCAAAAACCAAAATAGAACAAAAACAAAACTGAGCTAAAGAACTTGATAGCTGTGCACTTTGAAACAACAGCTTCCTCCAATGATACACAGCATTGTAAACAAAGTTCTAAAGCTCCCATAGCAAAACACCGCTGACATATAGCTATATATAATCCTGCCCATAAAATCATTCATGTGCTATTGTGCAAAGCAGTGGGCTCCTCAGCAGCTGCCTGTTTAGCAAGCTTGATGAAGAACATTCAGTATGAAAATATGGGAGGGGGACATTTAACATTGTTGAAAAGTAATTAAAAATATATTTCACCATATGCTATGCTCCTCTGCCTTTACTTCACTTCAAGAAAACAAATGCCTAGAGCATTTATTGTACCCCATCATTTTTTAAAGAGGACTAATGTTCCCACTTGGCATGGAAGACACACAGATAAAATAATCAGACCTGAAATGAATTGTGTGAAATTCATTTATCTGCATTCAAGAAGCTTCTTCTCTGCAGTCAATAAATGCAAACGGCCTCCTGTGCTCCTAAAATGTGTGGCTCTCAAAACAAGAAAGTTGGATGCTAGTACCTTAAGCAGAATCATCAATAAAGGGCAGTATATCGTTAGGTTTATTACAGAATTGCAATAGTCATCTTAGTAACTGTGTAATATTAGTAAGATTCCAAAGCTGCTGTGGTTTACCTAGCACATACACAGAAGAAACAACACAGTTAAAGGAAAACAACATAAAACTAAGATCTTTTGAAGCACATCTGAAAATGTAATGATTGTTTCATTGCTAATGTAGCTTATTTGTGTGCATATCTACCCTGAACACTCCTCCCAAGGGCCATGTATTTATTTATTTGTTTATTTGAAATATTCATAAACTGCACTTTCATATAAAATATCACAAGGCGGTGCACAGACTAAAAATACACTATTACAATAAAAACATCAAATATATCAGTAAGAGCTGCTTGAGAAAGGACCCCAGGTTTGAAATGCCTGTCGGAATAGCAGAGTTTTTAAAAGGAATCTATAAACAAGCAAGGGTGTCATCTGCCAAACATTTATTGGAACGGAGTTCCACTGGGCAGCACCCACACACATGAAAGCCTTGGCCAGCTAAACTTCAGCAGCATTAGGGACCACCAGCAGAGTCCCTTTAGAAGACCTCAGTGACTGAGGAGGAGCATGAAGAATCAGGTGGTCTTTTAGATATCTTGGGCTCAAGTTACTTAGAGTTTTGTGAATTAAACCTGGCTTGGTAACAGATTAGTAACCAGTTACTTTAGTTCAGTGAATGAAAGTTGGGAGTCCTCAACAGAGAATTCTCATATTCTTTTCTAAACATTGTTTCCCACAATTCTTTGGGGGTAGCCATGAAACTATACCAAAAAAGAACTGCAGTACAAATCGGCTCCCAAAGTTCCATGTCTGAAGAGAAATTTGGAATCCAGGCTTTTGAATAGATAAAAATGACTTTTTCAAAACGCAAAGGGATTGAAGCAATTTAAAAAAGCTCAGTATTGTATAAGAAGCATTTAAAACAACAACAACTGTCCAAATAATGGTTGATGTGATTGTCTGGAAGAGCATGTGCTATACTAACATAAAGGTAGCCTGATGGAAATAACATCATCAATTGATACTGACAACAACAGCTGTATTTAGTGGGAATCATATATAAACACAGCTGGAGAAGAACATTCATGCTGTGTGTGAGAGGACACCGTAATTTATGTAATGATCTCATTTAAATATGAGGCTTTCACCAAGCTTTTGATGGCTGCTCCCAATTATGAGCCAAGACCTCAGATTTCAGGACCTGGCTTGGTGCCATCCAGCTTTGGGGATGAGGGTGGCTCATGATGATTGCAGCAAGCTCTGGATTCCTTGATAACGGAAAGGTGATAGCACTGCCCAACACTTTGTCTTGTTATTTTCATCTGTAGTAAATATAAGAATCTGATAACAGTAAATACAGACTTTACATGGAAAGAGCCATTTTTGTGAGGTTTTTTATTGTTATTATGTGTGTGGCTATGTTGAAAATATAGGTGTCAGATACCACCTATGCTGCATCTTCATAAAATTTTCTCTTAACGTGTAGCATGCTGTGAACCTTATATTTACTTTCCACAGTTGTTCCCATAATATAAAATCAATAGTGTGTCCAATGTCCCTGGCCCAACTTATCATCGAAGACTTTACTGTTTCTTCCATTGTCTCCCACTCAAGTAATAAATTACGGTATACATTTTTTATAATATTTTGACCTTGGATCCTAATAACTCCTTTTCAAACTGAGTTCTGTTCTGCAAATCTGTACTTTTTGTCTAGCTTAAATGTTGTCCTCAACTGGTAGTACTTAACCAATCTGTCACTTGATCTTTTTTTCTCTCCATACTCTTTTCAATTTGTAATCCTCCCCAGTAACAGCTGTCTTTTCTAGCTGCACCAAGGGACCACTTTACAGAAGTTCGTAGGAATGAGAATTCCAAAGTAGACCACATCTTATTCACACATTAATCCAGAAGTTGTGGCTCTCACATATCGACCTCATCCCAATTATCCTCAAGTACTTTGCTAGATACAAGGTCCATAGTCTACCTCCACTGCTGGAAGCAGTGCCCTTCTCAACACCAGTTGCTGGAAACCTCAGAAGGTGAGGGTACTCTACTGCTCAGGTCTTGCTTGGAGCCTTCCCAAGGGCATCTAGTCAGCTGCTGTGAGAACAAGCTGCTGGTGGTCTGGTTGGGCCCTTGGCCAGATCCAGCAGGGTTCTTATATTCTTACTATCCATTAAGCTAGTCTATTGCCCTCAGGTGTGGTGACAGACACTGCCCAGTAATCAGTGTTGAAAAAAAGATTCACCTGCCAATCAGGTTGGATTCTATATGTGGTAATTAGGGGAGTAGGCACCATCTTGTCCTTAATTCCTACCAGCAAATGTATTGAGCTGTCTCTGGCCTAGGCATGTGTGAATAAACTTCCTGACATCTATAGACTTTGCTGTAACCTTCCTTCCCCACCCCAGCAACTGCCTATCAATGATAGTAAAAGGAAAACATGCAGGGATCTAGAGAAATCTCTCAATCACATCTGACATTCATTTGTTCATTTTTAAATGGACATATAATTCTTTTACGTGCAAGTTGTTAGAAGATTAATTGATGCTTGTGGAGAGATTTGAAATCCTCTAAGTGCTGTAAGACAAGATCTAACAGATTTTATTCCCATTATCCATTTGTTAATCAGGGCACCCCTTGAGAGTCTTCTAAAGTCAGCCCGTTCCTCAAGACACTCATTATATGGGGCTGGAGGTGGTCATGAAGATCAAGAGAGGAGAGAAAGTGAATTTTAGTTTGTGAAAGACAAATGACAAAAGGGAAACTTTTGGAATATGTATGCACAGTGAGAAGTCATGTTTAAATTGTGATGAAATTATTGGAGAAAGCAGAAAGGTATTTAGGCATTTGCTATATTCTATTTGAAAATTATTCAGTTTATTTTAATGATAATAGGTTGGGGTAACTGCATTCACAAGAGTTAGCTGTCATTCCCAAATGGAAAAGATACAGTTCCAAGAGAAAAATAATATTCATCTACCCTGCTCCATTTTGTGGATTCTTTTATTTTCTTTTTAACTATATTTAAATATTCCTCCTATAAACAGACTAGGACATGGGAGACCAGGGTTCAGACCCCTGCTCAGCCATGAAGCTCACTGAGTGTCCTTGGTCCAGCCACAGTCTCTCTCAGCCAAAGATATTTCACAGGGTTGTTGTGAGATAAAATAAGTGGGGGGGGGGACCCTGTATGCCACCTTCAACTCCTTGGAGGAAAGCTGGGATAGATATGTGATAAATAATTAAATATCTGCTATTTAACCTTTTGTGAATGCTATCAGACTCCTGGCCTCCAAACTGAAAACTAATGACTTGTTTATATTACAATATTACTCCATCAAGGATTATTCCCCAAATCTTTTAAAATGTAAGGCTGTATTGCTGATTTTGACCAAAAAAACATCCATCTTAAGCTAGAATTTTCTGTTTATTAGTGGCCAGTCAGATCAGTACCGAATTTATGTATAGGCTAAGTAGGCTGAAGCCTAGGGCCTCTAAATCTAGGGGGCCTCACTAGCCTGCCCTCTTCCCATTGCCACAGTCTCCCCTCTCCCCAAATTGCAAACCCAATACTTCATGTGAGGGCAGTGGCATCATAACAGGGGGTCAGGGGGCGGTACGTTCCATGTCTGCGGGGGTGACAAGAAGGCGCCCCACCACAGTGGCGTGAGCAGACATTGCACTGCTGCAGCTGCATGTGGAGGATCCTCTGTTCGCGGCTGCAGCCGCGAGCAGAGGATCCCAGCGCCAGCGGCAAACTGCTTTGTACAGCGCATGTGGCATCGCACGCATGTGCTGTTCATAACAACGCCACACATGCGCTGTACATAGTGGTTTGCTGCCGGCACTACTCCAGCGCCGTACGGACGGTGCTGGGATCCTGTGCTCGCGGCTGCAGAGGATCCTCCATTCACCGCTGCAGCCGCGAGCAGAGCATCCTGTCACCGTCTGTACAGCGCTGGAGCGGCGTCGGCGGCAAACCACTATGTACAGCGCGTGTGCGGTGTCGCTACGTACAGTGCATGCGTCTGCAAGGCCGCGTATGCATGCTATGTAGTGATGCCCCGCCCCGGGTGTCACGACACCTTCATTCACCCCTGTGTGAGGGTAGGACAACTTGGGCCTCTAAATCTAGGGGGCCTCGCCAGCCTGCCCGCTCCCCAGTGCTGCAGTCTCCCCTCTCCCAACATTGTAAACCCAAGACTTCATGCAAGGGCAGGACAACTCAGGCCCAGCAACTATTAGACTCAGGGCTAGCCGGTGGGGCCGAATTTAAAGCAGTGGGGCCCAACTTGATATTATTTTTTTGTAGGGCCCCAGTTCACTGACAAAGTCTGCAAAATCTTATAGATATAAATAAAATCCATCTAGATGGCCCTGGTGCAGGGGCCCCTTTAGGAGCAGCCCGCAGGGCCCAGTTTGGCCAAATTGCTCCAATTGCCTTAAGATCAGCCCTGATGAGACTGTGCAGGGGTTGGACTTGACAAGCCCTGCACCTTCTAGGTCCCTGGTGTCACCATTCAGAGTACAGACTCAAGGTCTTGTTTTGGAAATAAAGGGGAGGCACTTATTGGAAATCAGTTTTGTCACCTCTTCCCCCCCAAACCCCGTGAGAATGAGCCCAGCCACCTTTTATTCACAGTCACATAAGCACTACACTACAGCATGGCCATAAACTTGTATGTTCAACCGCTGAAATATACACCCAATATATAGCAATGGAGATTTATGTTACTGCTTTATGAATGAACACTGTGTTTTATGAATGGACGGTTCAATGTGTGATGGGGTGAGCTCCCATTGCTCTGTCCCAGCTCCTGCCAACCTAGTGGTTCAAAAGCATGCCAGTGCAAGTAGATAAATAGATACTGCTGTGGCGGGAAGGTAAACAGTGTTTTCATGCGCTCTGGTTTCTGACACGGTGTTCTGTTGCACCAGAAGTGGTTTAGTCATGCCAGCCACATGACCCAGAAAGCTGTCTGTGGACAAACGCGGGTTCCCTTGGCCTGAAAGCAAGAAGAGTGCCACAACCCCATAGTCACCTTTGACTGGACTTAACCGTCCAGGGATCCTTTGCCTTTACCTACCAAGTTTCCAGTGAAACTACTTAAGCATGGTAATGAGTTGTGAAATGTTTAACTAACTGATAATGGTTGAATCCAACTCACTTCCCCTTAGATAACCAATGAAAGACACACCAAAACAAAGTCATCAGTTTCTCCTGCTCATCCTTAGGGTAAACTGAAGTAGGAGTAAACTGTGATAGCAGCTAACATGAGTCATACACCAATAAACCTATTCTCTAATCCTCAGAAGTTTTCAAGAGTATTATACAGCACTGTTTTGAGGAGAAAGGACAACATTAGAATACTTTAAAAGACATTCTACTTTGTCTACCAGGCCGAATATTGGGAAGTGCTGATCTCATGTTCCAGGAATTCCAGAGCGATGGTGGTGCGGGGGTGGAGTCCTATGTGATTTATGTATCCTTTGTTCTTTTCGTATCTTTTCAGTTTCTTTGACTACACACCATTTCCCACAAAGAGCTCACTTCCAAAGCATTACAAAAAATGCAACAACCAGAACTCCACATGCTGCAACAAGATTCGTCTCTGACTCATGGTTTTCTTTGGAAACTCTTGAAGTATTAAGAGATATCCATAAGAAAAGCATAGACCAGGCATTTAAAATTCCAGCTAGAAATACAAAGCGATAGACGTGAGCAAATGTTCCAAGAAGCCAGTTTTATCTTGGAGGTTTTCAGTGCTGAAAGCATCTTGCAGGCTTCATGGACTCCTCCAAGGCCTTGCTCAGGAACTAGTGTCCCTGGAGCCATGCTGAAAAGAGAGTGAGTGATGGGGAGCCAGTAATTCCAACCTTCATTTTGTAACACTGCCTGCCACTAAGGGCTCATCCACACTTACATTTGCTCCATGTTTCTAGGCACAAGTCTGGGCTTTTCAGGTCCATGTCTGAGCATTGTTTGTTTGTTTGTTGTCCTGGCGCATTCCCCAGAAAACCTATGTTTTACCACTGAATCAGAGCAAATGACAATTGGGATTTCTGCAGATTGCTGTTAGCGCCAATTCAGAAGTAAAACATGGGTTTTCCTGGGGAAAGTGCCAGGACAAAAACAAAACAAAACTTGGAAAGCCGGGACCTGAGCCTAGAAACATGGAGCAAAGGTAAATGAGCACCCTGCGCTCCCAGCCTTGAGAGCTGAAAACACACTGAATAAATGGACTCTTCATTTCCATTTAGGCCCTTTATTACATTTCCCCAGCGTTTCCTCAACAGTTAATTTCTGCATTATATTTGAGCTTTCACACAGCATAAATTCACTTTTGGAAATATAGCAGAATATATTGCAAGATTAGCACTCATTTCCATGTGATTTGCAAACTGATTTTTCCTAAGTAAGTAATGCAGAAATGAGCGCTAAACTTGTGCTATATTCTGCCATATTTCTGGGAATGGCTTTTATGTCATGTGAAAGCTCAAATATAAGGTGGGAATTAACAGTTAGGGAAACATTGTGAAGATGGAATGAAGGGCTGTCTGCAGCCTTAGTTGCAAAAGGTAATGTTTAAATCGGTCAGGCACAATGTACCCCTGCATTCTCTGGCAGGCTGCATTATTTGGTCAGCGTCGCATTGCCTATGGCACGGGGACCTCATGATGCCTTGGTCTGGTTTAAATACCTACTGCTGTTTGTGATCTGAGTGCTACTTAAGAAGTTGCATTAAACTGAGTCAAACCATTATTAGTCCACCCAACTCAGTATTTTCTGCAGTGACTGGCAGCGTCTAGCCAGGATTTCAGACTGGATCTCTCCCTGCCCCACCAGGAGACACCAGGGATTGAACTTGGGAACTTCTGCATGCAAAGCAGATGCTTTGTCACTGAGATACGGCCCATTCCTAAGGGTCTTCCCTTGAAAATCATTGTTTCAGAACAACCAGGATGCCTCCTTTGGAAAACTGTGCACTAATTAAGTAGTGCCTATGTTGATGGACATTGAAATGTAATGCTAAAATACCCTTTTAAGAATTGCTGAAATGAAATGTTAAGACACGGTTGATCTTTTTGACAGTTAAAGTGAGTGGTAAAGTGTGAGCTGAGAAGTCCCTGGTTCAAATTCCCCCTCTCAAGCCATTTCTGAACCTCAAATTCAGAATGTGGGGACAATGTAATATTAACTTCACAAATTTGTTGCAAAAGTTGATATTTTGTATATTCGGTATGTTAACATAGCTCTGATGTAGTGGTTTGGATGTGCTACGTTCACTGCAACTGCTATAGGCAGAGTGCTTAAGTCAGAGTCTACAAGACCAACAAAGTTTATGGAATCGCCACAGGGTCTATGAACCCTGTGCAGGTTGCTTTCCAGGTTCAGGAAAGGGAAGGGGAAAGAATCTGCCTTTTCCAAGAATACTCTTCATGCCCCCAGGTTTGAGCCGCAGTGCTGAGTCAGAAGCACAAGTAGCTGCATGTTGGTGATCCATAACAGACATAAAACGGCAATAGTGATGCTTCAGCCACTTTCTGAATGAAGAGAATGCAAGCTTTGACTCACACAGAACTCTTACCCAAGCAGAGCATTACATTTGCACTAAATATTTATTTTTAATTTGGATTTAGCCCCCCCCCCCCGAAATTTCCAGTTAAGTCCTAATGCACACCCTTTGCTGTTTACACCCAGGTGTCTGCATTAGCATCTTAACACCATGGAATCATCCTTAAAAACTCATTCTATTTTTTGGCAGTATACAAGCTTTTGACTCCCTTCTACTTAGCATGATTGCATTTGAGATACTTCAAAGAGAGCTTTTGAACTGTGATAGTGTCAAGAGTCTTTGTTATCATTTCAAAGGACATCCCCACTTTGTAGGGCCTAGGTAAACATCCTTTCTTTGAGGCAAACCTTTCAGCATGCAGATTGACTCCTTTCATTGCAAACTCTGATTCCTTTACCATCCACCCACTTCTGACTGATGATGCTTCTGAGTACACACATTTTCTAATGAAGTCAGTGCACATGTTTTAATATGCAGTTGCCATAATAACACATCATTGTCCAGTTTGTATGTCATGGGAAACCATATGCACTGTTGTGGTTTGTGTTTTTCTCCACTCCACTAGTGCATGTATAAAACAAACCATGATCTCTGACTTAACATTATGTGGTCAGAAAGCCAAGAAACAACTTTGGGTACAGACCATGATTTGTTGGGAGTGAAACAAACCATGAGGTCTGGTTCAGATGTAATGCTGAGCCAGGATTGTGATTTAATTCTTGTGTGTGTAGTGGTTAGGAGTTAAACTGCCCAGAGAGGCAGAATTACAGGAAACCATTAGCTACAGTTTACCATGACATGTGAATGAGGCTATTCAATAAAAAACAGAAAAGCAGCACAAGGATCCCATGTTATATGCCAGGAGTTATCTACTTTTATTAATACTGATCGAGGCAACCAAATCATGGATGCTTTTGTGTCAGGGGAAGATAAATGAGTCATCACAACAGGCTGAGTTTAAATGGTAGTGGAGAGGGAGGAGTTGAAAAAATGTGGGGAGTTTTAAAAAGGTGAGTATGATGATATGGATTGAGATGAAAAGGTAAAGCTGGCACATTGGCATATGGGGTACTATTCTGCTAAATTTTACTCATAGTAGATCCACTAAAATGACTATGCTTAACTGAAGTCATTTCAGTGAGCCTATGATGAATAAAACCTAGTAGGATACCACTCCTCCTTCACAGATCACTGCCTTGTCATGGTGAAGGGGCTTGAATAACTCAGAGAAGCTATGAGCTATGCTGTGCAGGACCACCCAAGATGGACAGGTCACAGTGAAGAATTTTGACTAAACGTGATCCACCTGGAGCAGGTACTAGCAAGCCACTCCAGTATCCCTGCCAAGAAAACTCTATGGACAGTGTTCTCGAAGCTACTAACATGAGTTTGACCAAACTGCGGGAGGCAGTGGAAGACAGGAGTGCTCTGGTCCATGGGGTCACGAAGAGTTGGACACAACTAAATGACTAAACAGCAACAGGATACCACTCGTGTTTCTCCTCTTCTCCCCTCCATCTTTATAATGCTTTTGACCATGTTTGATCAATTTGTGGCAAATAAACTGGCAAGCATGGTCGTGCGTTAATTCATTCAGCAAGTGCAAAGAAACAAGAAATCTATTTTTTAAGAAAGAGGGATGTTGTTGCCCCATGCTTTCCATTTATTTCCCTTCAAGCATCTGATCAGAGTCCAATCAAATACAGATGTGCTTGTGCTTATATATTTCTGTCTATGATTAAACTACATAGTTAACACATCTCAAAGCTCTCACTGAGCTTTTCTTTTCCCTTAGGCAGTTTTACTCTAATCGCCCCATAAGCTTTCTCATGATATGCTCAGAAATGTAGTCAACGACTTTCCTTTTTCCTTTAATTAGTGATCTTGTTATAATGCTATGTGGTGATCTTCCTTTTTGTTGCCTGTATTTTAAACGTAATTTCAATTTAGTTTTCTTTCTTTTTTAAGGGTTAAGCAATGTGAGGGCTTGCTTGTTGTAAAAATAGGCATTCTCTTTCTTACACTGATGAGGGGACCACAAGCTCTGTTCACAAATGCATGTGAGTTTCAGTTCAGCTAACCACCCTTCAACGTCCAAGCACCTTTGGACTGTAAAACAATTTTACACACATCCCAGGTTGTCTGGTCACATTTATGAAGCTGTGTGTGAAGTATGAAGAATAGATTGGGCTGTAGGTCTAAGCACCTGAAGCAACCTCTTCTTGTGCAGTACTGATATATTATTGCTATTATAAAAAACTGTGATCTACAAAGCAGTTAGGTTAGAATAGTATTTAGATTCAAATGAGTTTGGGCACATGCAGTCAGTAGGGCTAAAAAATTATATCCTATTTAAATAATTCTAAAACATTTTTGAAACTCCCCTTCTTCAGTGAAGGAGATTTCACTTTTGTAGGCACTTTATTTGTTCTGGAACACATTGGCTAAGGAAGAGAGCTAATCAGACACCATAATTGGAGGTGAGGGAACAAATCCTACCTCTTGTGTGAGCTCTCCCCCACTTAATTGAAAGTCATGTTTTTCACCTTGATAACATGTGACGTTCCTAGCCGGATGATGCTTTGAGTGTTCCAAGCTGTATGGTACTTTGATCATCCTGTACCAAAGCATAAGTGAGCTCACATTGGTTCACATTATTTTGTGAACTTGTGCATCTGTCATCCTCATTATCTGAATGTACAGCTTGCACCATTGGATGGCTGATTAAAAGAATTTGTTACGCACATGATACAGTGATCAGCCGTTCCTGCTCATATCCCTAAATAACAGTGTGTTCTAATAAGTTGATAAGAATACTTTAGTCAAGGCCAGAGAGCTCTGTGTTCTTTTTAGAACCTCTCAACAGTAGTCTGGGTTTTATGAATCATTTTTGAAAGGCTTTCTTTTGGCAAAGACATCTGGGGCACCCACCAGATTTTGGCTTAACTGCCTTCCACATTTATTTATACACTTGCTTTCATAACATAATAATGAGTCCGTGTTGCCTTATCCATACATGGCTGATAAGTTACAACCAGGAGACCCCCTTCTGACTCCTCAAGCCAATTTGGTGACGTCCAGATGTTGTTCTTGAAAGTACTGGGACAACTCTGTTGCAGAACCACAATTTCCAGAAGCCATTGGGACAGTCATGGCATTCAAGCAGTTTAATACTGTAGGGTAGATATGTTCAATAGAAGATAGTGATTAATTTGCCCAACTTGTGTTGCCCAACTTTGAAATTTTAATGATTACTAGTAGAATCAACTGTTTCTGCTAGATATATCCTTCCTGTTGCTCATTATAAGAGGCTTTGCTGTTGACATAAGATAAGGTGGTTCCTGCCAATCTCCCAGAAGACCTAAAATAAAAAGTGAATTCTTGCAGTTTGGACAGCTGCCTGCTTTCATATGATTTCAGTGCGGCAAAGGGAGAGAGATCTCTCTATGCCAAAAGACACAAATCACTTTCTTTCAGCTGCTCCCCACTCTCGCCTTCATTGGTAGAAATGACATGGCACTGCATCACTAGTCTCCTTTCTCTCATTGGCTGCCCTCGCAATTATGGCTGATTATCCTTGACCTGCACTTAATGGAGGATAGCCAGCCCAGAGCAGAGGTTAGATAGGCTGTTTTGACATCTCTTTTCCCACTAAAAACACTTTTGTCAGTGTCCATATATTTTGTCAAGGTACATATTCTCTTACAGATGAAAGACCTTGCTTGTATTAGGAAAGCAATTCTTTCCTCATAGACATCTTGCCAGTAAATCTATTATCGCCTCTAACTGACTTCGCTCTGAGCCTACTTTCTCTTTGATGGGCAAAAACAGAGATTAAAGGGGGAAGGAACAATGATTAGCTGGGGAAGGAATGTGCTTCATTAATGAAGAAAAATGACTCAACCCTCTTTGGAAGCACACATGCAGATCTTGTTTTATGTAGAGTCCAGGGTGGATGGGGGCTCACCCTTCTATTTAACAGGGAAACAGGTGGGCTCAGAAAATGAACTCCCAGTATGGAATTCTCACTGCCCTCACTGCAAGCCAAGGCCAAACCCTTCTCCAGAATACAAGCCCAACTCATCTAAGTCCACCACCAACCTGATCCCCTCACCATTCCCTCTGCCTTTCCAAATAAAGGTACTTCTGTGAAGGGATGACAGCCAGAAATGTGGGCAGAAAACGGTTTGTAGGACTCAGGCTACAAATGCACAGATGCTTCTGCTGTTTGAACAGGGTTTGCTGTTTCCTGGGCTTCCTGACTCATACAGCAGTGGGAACACACAGGTCATCTAGTCCAACTGCCTGCAGTGCAGGAACCCTTTTGCATAACAACAACAACAACAACAAATTTTATTTGTACCTCGCCCTCCCCGTCCAAAGCTGGGCTCAGGGCAGCTAACACCAGTAAAATTACAATAAAAACATAAGGGGGGGCAATTTAAAATACAGGTTAAAATGCAATTTAAAATGCATCCTCATTTTAGAAGAAGTCCATAGGCCAAAACCGTAAGGGGAGGGAAACATAAGGGTCAGACTGAGACCAAACCAAAGACCAGACGGAACAGCTCTGTCTTGCAGGCCCTGCGGAAAGATGCCAAGTCCCGCTGGGCCCTAGTCTCTTGTGACAGAGCGTTCCACCAAGTCGGGGCCAGTACTGAAAAGGCCCTGGCCCTAGTTGAGACCAATCTAACTACCTTGTGACTTGGGACCTCCAAAGTGTTGTCATTTGTGGACTTTAAGGTCCTCCGCGGGGCATACCAGGAAAGATGGTCCTGTAGGTACGTGGGTCCTAGGCCGCATAGGGCTTTAAAGGTCAAAACCAGCACCTTAAACCTGACCCTGTACTCCACCGGGAGCCAGTGCAATTGGTAAAGCACTGGATGAATGTGATCCCACGGCTTGAACCCACAGCCCTTAGATTAGGAGTCTCAGGCTTTACCAGCTGAACTCATACCTTTGTTTTCTGCACCAGGCTATTTTTTGAGAGACACTTTGCTCTGTGCTTTCTGTGTAGTGCATTAGCTAACACGAATAACAGGGTTGGGATCTTAATTTGTGTGGTGGGGCATGAAGCCTGAATCCAGAAAGGCACCAGCAGTGAGCAAGAGCTGGGCTGCTGGTGGGTGTGAAGTACATGCATGCATGCACACACACCTTCACATACATGTACTCAGTGCTCTCTTTTTTTGTAAAAGATGAGGTTCCACTACTATACTTGCTAAAAGTGTCAGCACAAAATGGCTGCCGTGGGTGGCAAAAAAAGAGATGGTGGTACTCACTGAAAAAGCACTGCTTGTACTCATGGGTAGCTTTCTGTTGCCTACATGGCATTATCCCCAAGTCCCCAGAATGTGGTCGCAAGAGCAGCTTGGCCTGATATAAAACCTTTGAATGCCTCAAGCAGGACAGGGGTTGAATGCACACATTCGGCCTCAGTCCCTCCATCTGCAATATGGGAGACAGCAATACTGCTTTTTCTTATGGGGTTATTAGAGAACTTTACAGCTGGATAATGCATGTGAAGTGTTTTGAACACCTGGATGCACTAGACAAGTATTACGTATTATTATTGCTGTTGATTCCACCCATAAAGATGAAATAAATGATACAAATGCCTTTGCACGTTAAAATGTGGGCTTCCAAAGCAATTTGCTGCTGTTCTTGTGATTCACCTAAATGATTCAGAAGTATTTTAAATGTACTCTTTCATTGCCACTTTTTTACTGTTGTTCATAAGCACTCTACTTACACGTTTCTTTCATTCCTTATTATTTTTCCAGATGAAGATGTGCCTGGAGCATTTTATGCACTGATAGAATTTCTCCTCCTTTTCTTTTGCCTTGCTATTTTTTTTCCAGAAAGAAAAACAGACAAGTTGATAAACTGGGTTATATAAGGACAATGCAGATGCACATTTCTATAGAAATAAATGGGGACCAACTGCCTGAAAGACTTTGAGCACTTTCAGCTGCAAAACAACCACAGTTTTGAGGTGCAAAGGGTCAAGTTTTGACTGCAACTCTTCTGTTTGCTTCCTCCTTGGGCTTCTTCCACAGCAGTTATTGTGGTGTGTGCCATTGCCAGGCTGTGTTCATTCCATTTTTGGAGCTTCCGAAGAACACCATCCTCTAGTGATTGTTGTCCTGCACTTTCTGTTGATTTCTCTGAATGAACTTTTCAGCACTATTCTTCCTTCTTTTCATGGACCAGGGGTTGACATGGGCATTGTCATGTCCGGAAAGTGAATCTCTCAACACACTTTCATTATAACCTTTGTGGTGGGAACTCTTTTATGACCTCATTTATGTATTTTAACAAGTACTAAAAAGCAAAACAAAACCCCTTTTCCAGCTATAAAATTATTTAATAAAAGGGGATAGTGCTATAACACCATAGCTCAATAATGTTAATAGTGCGTAAAATGGTGCTGACTAGAAAAGGTTCCCTCTCCCCATCACTTTTATTTTAATGAAGTATTATAGTGCTTCAGCACAAAAACACCATACTTCAAAATTTTACATTATAGCATTATGAAGTTATAGCCCAATGCCACTCCATTTTTAGAAAAAGTATAGCTGGAAAGCATTTTATCACTAATTAAAAGATCAATTTAACAAAATAGGGACATAAAATGGCACCCACCACAAGGCTTAGTGGGAATGTACGCTGAGCTTCAAATTGTCCCACCCAGAGCAGCTACAATACGTTACCCCCACTGATGTGAACAGAACAAAAGCACAATACCCTCAATAGTGTGGAAATGCAGCGGCAGTGCTCCTTGTAGCTTACAATGGAAGAAGAGCAATTATTGATAAGCATTGGAGCTTTCCCTCTGGAAGCAGGTTTGATTGTCTCAACAGTGGGAATTTATATATATTTAATGTCCAAATTAAGCCAGGTTTTCCTATGAGCTCTTAATTTCAGAGTTCAGCTTTTTATAATTAAATTCCTGGCAGTTCAATAGAAGATATAGCTGAATCATGGGATGCGGGTGGCGCTGTGGTCTAAATTCTAAACCAATGAGCCTCTTGGGCTTGCCAATCAGAAGGTCAGCAGTTCAAATCCGCGCGATGGGGTGAGCTCCCATTTCTCTGTCCCGGCTTCTGCCAACCTAGCAGTTTGAAAGCATACCAGTGCGAGTAAATAGGTACTGCTGTGGCAGGAAAGTAAACAGTTTTTTCATGCGCTCTGGCATTCTTCATGCTGTTCCATGCACCAGAAGTGGTTTAGTCATGCTGGCCACATGACCCGGAAAGCTGCCTGTGGACATCGCCGGCTCCTTCGGCCTGAAGCAAGTTGAGCCCCACATTCCATAGTCACCTTTGACTGGACTTAACCGTCCAGGGGTCCTTTACCTTTACCTTTACCTTTTTACCTATAGCGGAATCATCAGCATGATCAGTGAGAGGTAACCCTACAAAGTTCTGGAGGGCTTACTTCAAGGTAATCTGTAGCCTTCAGCATAAATGTGTGGTGATTTGCACCTCCCCCCCCCAATTAGCACTTATGGAGGGAAATCAGGGGCTACTGTGAATAGTTTCCTAAAAGGTCAGCTCAGTGTGTTACACTCAAAACAGGCAAAACTCTAGGAACAAGGGGGATCAAAAATAATACAGGAAACATGGTAATGCCTTTATAAAATAATTGGTACACCTGCCCGTTCAGTACTGTTAACAGCTGTGTTCACATTTCAAAAAAGATACAGTAGAGAAAAGCTATGGATTTTTGGTTCTCTAAGATGTGGCATGAAAAAGATCAGCTCTCCTCTTCCATTAAAAAAAAAAGACAAGTTCTTATTTTGTGCAAAAATTTTGCCTTAATTGTAAAATCGTAGTGAGATTGTGACTATTATCATTAGCAGAAAATAGTGGCAGGATTTGAAGCTCTCCAGAACTCTTCATCAGGCAAGATGCTACATAAAGTATGTATGAAGAAATGAGTGTGTGTGTGTGTGTGTGTTCGCATGCATACTTCCCTTCTTCTCCCCACTCCCTGCCCCTGTTTTGTATAACATCTTTCCTGATAAAAGAGTTCTGGAAAGCTTGAAAGCTCCCACTATTTTGTAACATTTTGGTTGGTCCTTATAAAAGTATTGTCCAACTGTGGCATTTTCTCTCTCTGATGGACCAACACAACTACTTTCGCTTTTTATGTTCCATTACTTTATTGGGTTATTCACATTTCCATCATTTTTTGTGCATTCCAAATAATTTTTCTCTGCGTCTTTCTCACCACTACAAATACTTTCACATTTTCTTTGGCACTCTCCCTAACATGGACATCATTAATTACAGGTGCAATACCATGAATATGCTGCATTAGATTATTTGAGAGAGGAACTTCAAGCTTTATTTTGCTTGCAGTCCATTAGCTAAAACAGAATAATAGAACTGGGCTGTTAATTGTGTGTTGATTCATGAAGCATTTCTCCTGGAAGGATACATTGAATCTGGAACAAATGTAAAGAACAATCTCCAAAACTAGCCCGGGCATGGAGAAGCACAGTTGACTGACAATATGAGCTATCTTGGAATCGGCTGTGCATCCTGTCTTTGGAGGGTTGCACACTCAAGTTCATGGCTTGGGGTGGTGTTGCATGCAGGGCTGCTCCTGAATGAGCAAGTTGGATGGGCCTGATCCACACCTTATTCACAGCCAGACTGAATTTTTGCAACATGCTTTATGGGAGCTGCCTTTGAAGAGTTCTTGAAAATTTCAACTCAGTGATTTGAATGGACATGAACCGCACAAATAATGTGCCAGTTTTTTAATCAATAACATCAACATTCAATTGGCTTCTGGCCCCTAAATGACCTGTGTTGAGAATATGTTAAGGCAGGGCTGAGGAGCCTTTGTCCCTCCAGATGTTGTTGGACTACAAAATCCAACGGCATGGCCCATGGTCAGGAACGATGGGAACTGTAGACCAACAACATCTAGAGGACTATAGATTTCCCATCACTGCCTTAAGGCACATGCATATACTTTTAGGCTTTTTAAAGGCATTCCTATGAAGCCCTGCTCCAGATTCCTCCACTGGGTATGGTGTGGAGTGGCACAAAAACTCTGGTGGGGAACTCTGTTTAAGATGAGACTGACTTCCCTCCATAGCCAGCAAATGAGTTTAGGTCTTTAAGATTCCTGGCTGAGTTTCTACTGACTTTTTTTCTTCAGGGACGGGGAGGTAATGCTCTTTGATTTTTGTCACAGTGGCTGAATATGATGGATAAATTGTATTTATTTTTGCTCCACTGTTTCTAATGTTTCCCTTTCAGTTGATTTTGTATTTCTTTTTTATGCCATGCTTATATATTTGAAATGGTTGCAAGCTACCTTGTAGGTTTTCTGGGGACAAAAGACAGGATGGCAATCTTTTAAGTTTCAAACAATAAATAAATATACTCACAGATGAAGATGGATTGTGGAATAGCCCAAAATTGGACACCTGCATAACGTGTGGAGGCAGAATTTATTTATTTGTAGTTGTTTGAGTTTCATAGTTCAGTGGTAGAGAACATGCTTTGTTTATATAAGGTTTCAAGTTTGATCCCTGTGTGTGACATCCAGCTTTATACTAGAATTGCTACTTGGTTGTTATTTGAAGTGCCATCCTTTATTTCAAAACCTCATAGAATTAAAGTATTTTCCTTTCCAGACACTGTCCCTGATCATATATTACTCGACCGATGGACTTGTCGTTGGGAAGCCAAAATGTGTGAAGACCTAGCAACATGATGGTTTGAGTGAAGGGCAGCCTACATGATTCAGACTAAGAGCTGAGCTTGTGCTGGAGAACTTATTATTATTATTATTATTATTATTAGTTCTCTTTTGTTGTTTTTGTCATATGAAACACTGCTGGAAGGCTCGGCCCAAGACATTTTGCTGCCTGAGGTAGGATGGCATCTCCTCCATCCACAGAAAATTACCTGATTTAAGTTGAACTTTACTTTAAACCCTGACAATGGGGCAGTTTCCTCTACCATACAGCTTAGGGAATGCAGGACAGGCTGCTGACACACAACTCTATCCTCCAACATAAAAGAATGGCTGAGGAGCTCAGGAGGAGGCTACTAATGGAGGCTGCTACTGTTATCTCCACAACATCTGCCACATGAGGCAGCCATCTCGCTCTGCCTAATGGTATAGGCAGATCAGTCTGCAGGACACACGTGATTTGCCTCCTTGATGGCAGCTAGACTGTCAGGGTTTGATACAAACCAGTATACAGTTAGTCTTACTCAAAGTCCTATTCTAAAACTAAGGATCATTATTACCCTGTATAGTGTGAGAGAAGAGAAGAAAAACAAGAATAAAGGCGGCTTAGTACATCACTTGATGAGTGGTAGCGTTACAAATCTAGCTGTGAAGAGCCAATATTGTGAGTCAGTGCCTTAGGGGAACACTGCTGCTTCCATGGTATTATGTGTTCTGACCAGTAGAGATTGGATTCAGAAGATCCAGTAGGAAGACTAAGCAGAGAACCATTTTAATAGCATATAATTATGACATGTTGAGGCTTAGCCTTAGGCAGGATTCAAAGGGGTCATTTCCCCCCTTCTCTATTTGGAGAAATCTGAAGTGTTTTTTAAAAGCAGAAGCCCAGAATCCATGACAGTAAGAGCAATTTAGCATTGGCAAAAATCCCTGTCCAGGAGCAAGAGATCTTGGATCACCTCCAAGGAGGGCATGTGATGTCTAGAGCTTTGAGTCTGGTGTCTATCTGTAACCTGTATTAATATAAGAGATACATGGCTGTGTGTAGTTTACCTTGAGTACTAATAAATCTGAAATTGAATTTTCTTTTTGGAGACGGTGGATTATTAATTCCCATAGTCAATTACTATGGAATTATGGAACATATGCCAAGGCATACATTCAGAATCAGCTCATTGCATTTTCAGGTCTCACACCAATGTTCCCTCATCTTGCTTGCATAGCTGCCTGAATTGTTAACAAAATACTACATGCCTGACACATAACTAATAGTTACTCTTAGTTGATTCTGTATTAAAGTATCATGGTAGTTGTTGGGGTGAGTAGTCCAAATGCAGGCAGAATGGGTCTGAGAAAACATGGCTCATTGGACAAAAACAAAGTAACTTCTGGATCATGCTATGCTTTGACTCCAAAGCAAAACAAGTCCTAGGTATTTTAGTACACTACACAAAATATTGAAACAGAACTGGAATGGGAAACTCCTCACACATCCTCCTAGACTCTGGAACCTTCTGTCAAGGGAGACACTTCTACACCACCACCAGAAGGCATAGCAATGAAAACCTAATTGAAAATTTAGCAGAGGCCTCCTTCTAGGTTATCCAGCCCATGATATTCCTTCTGTAACTGAGCTCTTAGTCCTTAGCTCCCAAAGGACTATTGATCTCCTTAATAATACCTCACATCTAGAAGTACCCTCCCACTTGCCCTTCATTGCAAGACTCTAGTCATTAACATATACTGTTATTTTTCTTTCAAATTTCTTAACATGTGAGGCACAGTTTGCCCACCTAGATATAATTGTTGCCGCTCCTGTGCCTCCTCATATTTTTTTTCCTGGTGCCACTACTGCATATAGGTATGCTGGACTCCTTCCTTGCCTCTTCCCTTTTTAAATGTCTTAGCCCATCCTTGCCTACACAAAATATCATGACTTCATTTCTTCGGTTGTGTCCCTTGAGAAAGCTGTGTTAGAAACAAATGTGGTGGAGAATGATCTGGGAAATTTATCTCAAACTCAAACCTGATCATCCATACCATCACTCATCTATAGGCATTTTTGGCCACATCTTGATACATGCCTTCAAGGTGTAAGCTTCAAAAACAGTCTTACTCCAAAGTTCAGACTTCTTGGCACTCCAGAATCATATCCTAAGGAGCCTTTCCTCATGAGGCATTTCCTTATACAAAGCAGGCCTCCTGGAGGTGCTGTAAATGGCATCCTATCAACTCAGAAAGGCTGCCTCCTTTGTGGTGATGTTTTCACACCACAGCCAGAAGGCAGGAGGAAATAACTATGTGCTATGAAACCTAATTGAGAATATAAGAAAGACCCCTTGATGCCCTAACAAAGGCGTAAGAACATCTTGTGAGAAAAGTCTAGACACCTTTTCAGAACTTCCCTGGAAAAATAGTTCAAGGACCTCATTTATAGTCATCAGATTTATGTTTTATTCCATCATGATTTTAGAAGAGGATTGTTCGGAGGGAGCATGTGGACTCATATATCTGTGAAATTGTCATTTTTGGTATTTTGCTGAGATTGGGCTAAGGTGCCAAGGTGTCTCATTATTTAGTCAGTCTTTTGGCACATGAAAGAGTAAAAGTGGGCACAGAGCACACTATACAGTTTTTACCATTGTGAATCAGGAAACAGCCAGGACTCCAGGGGTCTCTGTGGAAACCTCTGCTACCCTGAGATGCTTTACGTGTTTAGAAAGCTCTGGGTAATTCAAAAATTATACCTACAATGGTTAATTTGAGGGAGGAAAATGAGGAAATTACATTCAGCTGTGTGCCACATCAAACTCGAATGGGATTATAAGCAGCATAAAACTCTGAAGCAGCAGCTTGTGTTGCCTAGAGATGAAATTGTTTCAGAGTGGCTTTGGGGTAGAAAAGCCTACTCGTGCCCCCTCTGTGGCTTATTGTGAAGCAACATGTTTCTCTCCTCTGTGTGGCTCTAGGTGCAAGTGCCACAGTAGAATGCCAAACTGTAAAAGCTCCAGATGGAATTTCAATTGCAGTGAACTCAGTAACAAACCTTTCAATGACTTCATGACACCAGAGTATCACCAGGCCATTGTAATGGGAGAGGCTGCCCCCTTGATAGGGTTACCATGGCATAAGTTCTCATTCAACAGCAGTAGCCTAATAACTGTGCAGACATGATGGGGGATGGGGAAGCCTCACCGTGAACAGGAGGAAACCTGTCTATTCTTGAAAGACAGTGTATTGCTGTGTGGGAATGAATAGTCTTGCATGGTTCTTTTAGGATTTTAATTTTCTTCATAGATATATGAAGAATACACTGCATATCTATCTATATCTATCTATCTATCATCTATATCTATCATCTATCTATCTATCTATCTATCTATATATGAGAGAGAGTAATGTACAGTATATTATCATGTAATTTATTTATTTTTTGTTTTATTATATTTTTATTGTTTCATTGTAAGCTGCTTTGAATATTTTTAGGAGGAATGTGGGGTATAAATATAATAAAATATGCCTGAATGCTCATGGGAACTAAAATGTCAAAGCAAAACTACTCCAAGTATCAGGGGTGGCCAATTTTTTACTCATTACCAGTGATGTCATGGGAACTATTTAAGAGATACTCATGGCAGTCATACACATATCTGCTGCTCTTGTGCTGGCTGCATTGCTGGGAAGTATTTATTTATATAGGGGTGCATCTACTCTGTGTTCTTTGCCAGGACTCTGCCTGAGACATTTTGCAGAGCACCAAATGGCAAACCTCTCCAAGCCAGTGTGCACAGTCCTCAAGGCTGGAAAAGTTATTTTGTGCCTCGCCACCTCTGTGGCAGTAAAAAATACAAAAGCCAATGCAGTTGACTGTCATTTCATGAATCCCAAAATCGGCTGCCTGGGACAGCTGCCTCGCTCTGTTTAGTGCTAACTTTTCTCCCTTTGCCACATTAATTGCTACAAAGCAAGCAAAAAACTAGCTGTCCCGGAAATCATGATGGGACAGAGAGAAATGAATGTGTGTACATTCACAGTGACAGTTCTACAATACTGCCTCCAGGTTTCTGGCAAATTATTGTTAGTAAACAGCCTCATGGGTAAACCACACAGTACATGCTGATAGATTTACTGCACACCCCTCAATGTTTTTGCTACTGAAAAGCAGCCTCGGGAGGCTGCAGTTTTGAGTGGAGAAGGGAGAGGAGATTAACCTGTTCCAGATGATCAGTGTTCCACTCAAAATTGCCTCTCAAGCTGCTTTCTCCCCACAGAGTGACAATGGGTACCCATCTCCTTTCCCCTGAGCTGAAAACAGAGGGAAATGGTCAACAGGTAAAGGATTATGCACCCCACCCTCTTGCTGCTCTGACATTTAAAGCGCTTGCTTTCTTGGTCTACTTTTCATAAAATAAAAACAATAATGGGACTTTGTTCCACTTCTTTGTATATAGTCCAAACAATGAAACTGTCAACATATAGGAAATCTATGAATTTAATCATCAAACTACTTCCTCCAACGCTGTCTACATAATAATTGTAATTTTGAATTCTCCATCTTGGCTGCCTAAGGTGCTACAAGATTCTGTTGTTCTTGTGGTTTGCTAGGAGCACAGTACACCACTCTCTATTGTCCATTCTGATATCCAATACTTGAACTTTTAGCCATTCCAAAATATTAGGAGGGATGCCTCAAGCATCCTGTTTAGCAAATATCCATAGAAAGCAGCTTACTGATTTTAGACCTTTGGAGCACACATATTTTACCAGTGCTTCTATGCTACAAACATTGCTGGTTCTTTTGTGTGTGTTTTTTAAATTCTGAACTAGAAATGTCCATGTATGGCATTGAATTTAGTTCTTGTAAACTTGGTAGGCAAGAACATATTATCCCACACATTTTTAAGGAATGTGTAATTCACACTTTGCAAGATGAATTATTGTATTTGTCAACATGATTGCCTTTAGGTGGGAGGGAACTATGTGCCTACTATCTACATTGTTTCCTGGAGATCTTCTTAGCATTTTCTGGTGGAACAATAGGAAATCAAAGGGTGCAAAGACATTTTCCTAAGCACTGTTGACTTAGTCTACTCCTTAATTTCCTAACTTGTTTGCAGCAGGAAACAGCAGGAAGAGAAGGCAGGGAAACAGTATCTTCTTTAGATCCTTGAAAGGACAGTTCCTTGTAAAAGATAACAAGTTTGTTTCCGTTAATCAGCAAGACATTCTGTGTTTGTTAGTGGTTGTGTTTTGTCTTACATACCACAGATACTGTCTGCATCAATCAGAGTTCCCTTGCTGCGCACGATATTAATTTGTCAGGCTACTCACATTTTTCTTTGTATGTCAGTCATCTAGACCATGACTGTAAGGAGAGCTTTGTGAGATGATTTAGCAGCTGAAATTAGCTTGCTGAAAAAGCAGGAATGAAATGTTCCATACAACCACAGGTGGGCATTTGTTTGTGGATACCAAACAACTGATTGTTCAAAGCTCAAATTGTTTCAATACATGTGAGAATTATATGAATATCATACAGCCCAAGCCTTACCCAAAGGAAATCTCCTCTGCAAAATAACTCTCATTCACAGCACACAATAATTCCATCTATATATAATTCATGCAACTGTGTCCAGCAATGACTCCGGAGCAAAATATATGCCTCCCACACTAGAGGCTTGGTCACAGTTAAAAGGGAGAGTTTTGCTTCTTAATCAGGTTAAATGGCTCAACTTAATGGCTGAACCAAACCACATGTGGCAGGGGTAGCTAACATGGTAACCTCCAGATGTTTTTGAACTCCCAAATCCCATCAGCACCAGGCAGCACAGACAATCATCAGGGATGAAAGGAGTTGCAGTTCACAACATCTGGAGGACACTGTGTTGGCTGTCTCTGACATATGGGGTGGGGTGAAAAGGGAGTATCTTAACTGCAACTGATAAGGGCCTCTTCACATGTTACAAATATCCACATAGAAGAGCCATTAATACACAGTATCCTGGAATACTGCTCTGATGTCCAGGGTAGACTCTGGTTGCCATGTGAATTCACACTGGGTAGCCACAGCAGTCTGCAGTTTCCCAGCATCACACACACGTAGCAACAGCAACAAAAAGTTCATCCAACACAATTTGCACAGTAATTTCTACACACTCGCTGATTTTTAAACATATGAAGCAGCCCTATAATTCGGGCAAAATCTTAACCAAGCAGTAATTGGATTGACTTTAACTCCATATCCAAGGCTGCAGGCCAAACCATTCCAAGATCCAGTGCTGTTTCCCCAGAAAAATAGGTGCCACTTCTCAACATGAAGTTGTTACAGTGAGCGCCACACTTTTTAACAACAAAAAAGGATGTGCCAGTACTGCATACCCTTAAGTACCTCCTGAAAAAGGCACTGCCAAGATCTACTTTCTGATGCTTTTTCATCTTCTTCTGCAAGCTTCTATTGGTGTTGTTCTGATTATGTCATCAAAAGTACCACAAAGTATATATTTATTTGTTGAGATTTCCTAGTTAAAAGTTATTAGCAGTAAGATAAAGATAAGCACTGCAAGAGCTGATTGACATAACAGCTTTGTACCAGACAAGCCAATTAACATTTGATTAGCTTTGCAAATCTGCTAGAACTTACAAATAAAGTGGAAGGAGATAGAAAATAATGTGTGAGGGGTGTGTGTGTGTGTGTGTGTGTGTGTGTGTGACTGATGTTCTGTTTCCATGTGACACCAAAGACTTTGAGTGAAGTTGACTTCCTCTTATGTAACTGTTTGTGCAGACTGTGATTCTATGCAGCAGAGATGGCCTGTGGCCTTCAAGATGTTGTTGGAGTCCAAATCCCATCAGCCCTAGCCAGCATAGCCAATGGCCAGGGGTTATAGAAGTCACAGTGCAGCAACATTTAGAGGGCTCTAGCTTCCCCACCTCTGCTCTACATAGCTGCTAGGGGTCGAGTCATTTTTCACTGGACCACTTTCCTTACCACAGAAGAAGAAAAAGAAGAACATGCTTCTCCAAAAAGCCCCAAAAATATTCTCGCTAGAAGGAGTTCCTGAAACTCAAGAAAGACCAATCCAGCAAACTTTAAAGCCAGCCTTAATTTCTGATCAGAACAATCCCTCCTGCCATGTTTTGTGCTGCGGATTTCAGACAAAGCTTGCTCTCAGTTTAAGAAAGCAGTCCTGCTGAGCACACTTACAAGAGCGTAGGTGCCACTGAACACAGATGGACTTCATTCTGAGTAAACGTGCCAAGGATTGGGCTGCCAATCTTTGTTTTGAAGCAAAGCTTATTTATTTTGACAAAATTATATCCATTCCCCCCAACCCTTAAAAAGAAAACCCAGATGGACAGACTGCTCCTTCTGCTTGAAGGATGATCATGTGGGATTTACAGTTTAATTGTAAGGACTTGCGGCACATCCAGCGGATAAGTGACAGAGGTGAAAGTCTTGCTGGCAGCTTGGGAGAAGTGCTGTAATGAGGCAAAACTCCCAACCTGATCTAATTTAGAGCCAAGCGGTGCTTCAGGAATGTGCAATAATTAATCTTTTTATTTATCCACTGTGAACAAAGGAAATTAAGGGCGAGAGGAATAAGATTAAAATGGGCAGACGTGTATTTCCTCTTAAGGACCCTTGTAGTTGCGTTCCTGACAGCTAAGGTTCAGAAAGACAGGACCAGATGCGAAGGAGGAGAAATCTTTACTTCTCTTTTGCAGAGCCGGGCAGGATGATCCTCAGTCTAATTGCAGAGTAAATGTCCTCTGAGCTGAATAAATGTCTGATGCACACATACTTCAGGGGACAATGGAAACAGCCTCAGACTGACTGGAGGCCTTGTAGTTACCTCCCTATGGGGGAAATGCTGTTTTTATCACTGGCACAGACTAAGACTCATTTGCCTTGGACATAACAAGAGTCCTACTCCAAAGCAGGAAGAATGTGTTGTGGCTCAATCAGTCTCACACCATACACACCTGACCTGGAAATGTTTGCTATCTACCTCCTCCAACCTTTTGCTACCTGTAAGCACCTATCTCATCTTGTCCAGCATGATCACCCCACTTGTGTTGTTTTCTGATAGCATTCATGGGGAGGCACATTCTGATAGTTCAGATACATCGGTGATTGACCAGAGCTGCCTCTTCTCAGCCCACCAATTACAGCTGTGTAAGGAGTTGGGCTACCTGTGAAAACCTGGGAAGATGACAGACAGGTGGGGTCTTCAGGAGACTTAGGAGCTGGGAGAGAACAGAACATCTAGAACAGGCATCCCCAACCTTCAGCCCTCCAGATGTTTTGAACTACAGTTCCCATCATCCCTGACCACTGGTCCTGTTAGCTAGGGATCATGGGAGTTGTAGGCCACAACATCTGGAGGGCCGCAGGTTGGGGATGCCTGATCTAGAACAATGAAACTGTTGTAGGAAAGGGGTTTCTCATGTGATTCTCTCCACCCGCTCCCAGCAGAAGTCTAGGAAAAGGACAAAGGTAGAGGTGGATACAGGACTTTTTAATTGCATTTCCCTTTTTGTTCTTAGGGTGAGCAGTACACCATCCCCATGGCAGAGGAGCCTTTCCTGCCAGAATAACTGTGGACAATTAAATTACCTGCTGCTCCAAAAGGCACATCTGCATGACCTTGTCCAAGCCCTTGCTAAAGCACCAGGAATAGTTGCAGAAATGCCGCCTCGAGAGCTGACGACATCTATGTAGCAGCAATACTTACAGAAAATGTTTTTTCTCACACCAGCTCCCCCCCCCCAGCTGTTTCTTATTCCCATCAGCTTTTGCAAGGAAGTGTCCAGTTTTTTTCATATGCATTTACTAGAAGTGCTCAGTGATGGTGATTCCCCTAACAATTACCATGACTTTCTTCCGCGCATGCCCTGTCTGGATCTGGTTTCATCCCCAAATGCTTTTTGTGGATTTATGTTATATTTGTTCCCTGTTCCCTTCATCTTGGCATCTTGACAACGTATTGGTAAATTCCCTATTACACACCAATTAAAACCATTTTGATGAATTTGAGGCACCAGCAATGTATTCTACGCAGCATCGAATTTAAAAATTATAGGGGAAAACTGAGCATATACAGGGTATAGGTCAGTCATGAATAAAGCCTTTGTCTCACAGAATAGGTCTAATTGTCATTTCAAATGACAGTAGCAAATGTTGCCCTCCCTTTCTATGGCAGCATGTTCTGTGGTGTGTGCAGAGCTCTCTTTAAGTAGCCACTGAAATATAATATTAATAGCAGAGGGCACTATGTGATAATTACTGGTATAGTTATTATATATTGGGAAACAGACAACTGCATTTAAGTCCTATATATATTGGGGAATTTTTTCCCCCATTTTGGTAATAATTAACACTATATGTTATGATAAAATTATGGTTCACAGATTTGCTTATACTGTGTAGAGCAACTGACTTTGCATCTTCTCAGATGAACTCAAAGAGTAATTGGTGGGCCAGACATCCATCTTCTCACTCCACCAGTGAGTTCAGTTTCAAGGCCTAAAGGACTAATGTTCACATGTTCAGGAAATCAATGATCTTCTGAAACCATTGGCCTTTTGGAACTTAATTGCTACTTCTGAGCCTAAAAATTATACACTGGAACCTTTAGATAGCTGTAAATTACAGACTTGCTCCATCTCTTCTTCTTCTTCTTCTTCTTCTTCTTCTTCTTCTTCTTCTTCTTCTTCTTCTTCTCTTCCTCCTCCTCCTGCTCCTCCACCACCAGCACCACCTTCTTCTCATTCTCATTCTCCTTCTCCTCCTCTACAACATTTCCAGAGCTTTCTCAAAATTCTGAGATGTGTGCTGCTAACCAACCTTCATCTTGTCCCATTCCCAAGAACTCTCACTGTTTCTCCCTCTCCAATAGTCCTCCTCTTGATTATCTCTGTTGCCATCAGCTTCTTAATAACAGTTCTCCTGCTGCAGCTTTTCCTTCCATGCCTATCCTCCCATCGACACATTGTCAATGTGAGATTTAAGCAATACAGAAGCAGTGACTACCCAGGGGTAGAGAGAGGATGAGATGTGGGGGGTGGAATACTGACAGAATATGGCAGGTCATGAACAGAACTTAGTGTGTCTGGTGATAGGATGGATAGCCCCAAATCTTTACTATGCTGGATTTTCATGCCATGATGCCTGCCCAAATATGTATGAAATATGTATGAAAACTATAAGACTGAAAATATATGCTGCACTTTTATAACACATCTTAATTGAAATTAATGAACACACAAAATTAATGAACATCTTCACCCTATACCTGGAAGTAAACCCCATTGATTGAATGGGACTTACTTCCAAACTGATCAATAGTGTATATAGATGGTTCAATTCTTCCTGAAGCTCCTAGAAACAATATATGATTGTGATGATGATAATGTTAATGACAACAGATGACATGGTAACATATTCCTAGTAAATAAAACAGAGTAGTCTGAGCAGATGCATAGGATTAATGTTGCATTCTTAAAAATAAGATAAAAAAGTGTTCATTCATGAGTCAGATCATAGATGATCCCCTTTGCTGCATACACGGCAATATTTCATCTGAATGGGTTGAATTGCATCCTTGCAATTTTATTGTGATCCATCTCTTGAACTGAAACTGGGCTCCAGAATATTTTTTTTATAAGAATGTGATTGTTCATTCAGATGAAACATCTGTATGACTGTGCTCCCATAGAAATAGGTCCAGAAACCATAGTGAAGTGTTATATCAGAAGTGGCATACATAATTTTGTTCTCGTTATTTGTTGCAAATGGCAACTGAAATGTTTTAGATTAAATCCTTGGACAAAGATCGTTATACTCTGACACACAGCTATGTTTGTTAAATTTAGAGCATGGATTCCTCTCAGGGTATGTAAGCTATCCTCTGGGAATGCTCCTCAATACAAGCTTGCGCTCTCTATTTTTGGAAATAATTAAACTATAGTGTAAGGAGTTATTAGACTAAATGGCGATGTAAGCCCCAAAAGCAAAATAGTTGACATTCCAATATTATGCTCTTGGTACAGTGTCACACATTATTTCTTTCAGCTCCATTAAAAATGAAATTAGATTCAGTGGAAGTCTAAAAGGTAGGCCTTTGTGATGTATTAAGCAAAGGTATTTGGGTAGATTAGGAAATAAGTACTGTTTACAATTGGCTGTTTAAAAGTGTAAATCCTTACTGGCACATTGATTTTCAGAGTAAAACTGCTCAGTACTTAAAGCATAGCTCAAGCTTATCATCAGAATCAACAGTTATAAAACTGAATTTTGAATCTAATGGCGTATATAATATGAAATCTGGTTTGTTGTCGACCTTAATAGAGAACAAATGAAATACAAAAAACATAGGGAAATAAGCTACTGCTCTGACGTTAGCTACTGGGAAACTAAGTTTGCCACTGATTGTATATCTTTCTTTAAATAAATGCTTTGCGCAACTCCCTATCCGTTGCAGCTCCTTCTCAAGGTGTTGTAAAAACCGAGAAACTGAACAACCCTAAAGCATATTTATACAGATTAAATGGTTTCTAATACTCCAAAGAGCACTTAATCTGCATGAATGTTCTTCATGTAGCTACGTGCCTCTAAAACTTGAATAAGAAGCCACAGCACTTTTGAAAGTATGCAGTATATTTTTACTTTAGCAAATCAACCAAAGGGGGGGGGACCAAAGAACTATTAATTGGCTTGCCAAACAATTCAAGATCCAGCTATTCAGAGGAACACCACCTTTGCCCTTTGCTCTCCATCTACCCTTGATGGACAAAGCTTTTAGGAAGCTTCAGTTCTCCCATCTTTACCTGTCAAGTCTTTAGAGGAGCTAAGCTTGGAGACGTTTCTAAGAAGTGGTTCATAAATGAAATAAAGAACGCCACAGCAGCCACTGCCTTCTTGGGGATCTTGGATTGGTCTGAGAATTAATGGTATGTTTTAGAAGAAAAGGGGTGATCTGGAATGGGCTGAGCAGTAGCAGCCTGCAATGCAGACTGACAACAGAATTCTGCAGAAAACAGATAATTTTGAATACTTGGGCACAAAGGGTGATATCCCACCTTAGTCATAATCAGGAGTCTGACCCATTGAAATAAGGGATCACCCACACTTCTGCTTGTCCCATGCCAAGAAAGCTTGCATCTGAGCAGTTTTCTGCTTGTCCTGTGATTTCTATGTGTGGGTCCGAATGGCTTCACTCTGGTCCTGCTGCTTTCCCCTGAAAAACCCACTCTTCGGTGATAAATCAGAACAAACAGCAATTCACAGAAAACTCAATTGCCATTTTCTCCGATTCAGCGCTAAACTGCAGGTTTTCTTGGGTGGGGCAAAGCAGCTGGGTCAAACAGAAGTGTGGCTGGGCCCTAAATGGACTTGAGTTGCTTTTATGTAAAAGCCAAGACAGATGTGATGTGGAAGATCAGTCACTCAATCTCCTAATGTAAGAAAAAGGCTAGGGAAGGCAGTGTTTAATCCTTCCCCAATGTCATTTCTCCAACTGAAATTGCCACCCACCTTGAAGCTGTTATTAACCTTGCTGGAGGGCAGGGGAAATAGGTACCATATCATTTCTGATTTATTTATTTTTTACTTATGGGGTCAAATGGCAACTTTTGAGAGAACAATAGTAATGGGAGGGGCATAAAGACTTACACACACTCTTTCCTAGCATCACTCTCCAGAGCCAACTGGATTTCCTTCCCCACTGATGCTTTTAATATCGGAAGGTCCCATCACATATCTTCTACGTCACATGTCCAATGTACAACTTAGTTACCAATGGGAACAAAAATATATTCCAGGAGCATCACCCTCAGTATTCCTACCTTTCCCTCCAAGTAGCTCAAAGTGGTCACATGGTTCTCCCTCTACTCATTTTATCCTCATAACAACCCCATGAGGTGGGTTAGGATGAGAGAGAGTGACTGGCCAAAGTTCACCCAGTGAGGTCATGGCTGAATGGGGACGAACTCCAGCCTGCCAGGTCTTAGCCTAACATTCTGACTGCTACACCACTCCGTTTCATCACCGGGTCTACATGGAGCACATCTGCTTCTGCATTACCTCCCAGCAACCCATCTTTATTGATGGTCAGTGTAGCTTACACAGAGAAATAAGATGTGATAGCCGGTTACCTCTCATTAACCAACTGTGGACGTAATAAATTAGACATGCAATTTAAGTACCACATATTTCTTCTTCTTCCAACATTCAAAAGCAGTATTGGCAGAATGCAAAGGTGAGCAGAAGAATGGGGAAGAGGCTGTACAGACTTGTATTTGTATTTGTTTCCCCCCTCAAAAAGTGTCCTCCAAGATGCTGTAGTTGGCCTGAGGCGAAAAACAGAACACAAAAGCAGCTTTCAGATGATTTTGGGCAGGGAAATGACCAGAGGGAGAAAGCACCTGTCTCCATCACCATTCTTCCATGCAAACTCACAGCCACCCAGCACTGATATTGGAAGAAAGACATACACAAATTACAGGACAATTCTGGTTTTCCCCTGAGTTTATATGCTAACTGTGCATTCAATATTATTAGTCCAATATTAGTATTATTAGTATCAATGTTACGCATCCTTTACCTTAATGTCCCAGCGCAGATTACAACAATAAAACAGTTTAAAACAATTTTCAATCACAAGAATAAGATGGGTCCTAAAAATGTACCCCACAAGTGTTAAAAGCCAGGTTAAAGAGGTTGCTCTTCAGAATTCAGTGGAAGCTGTATAAAGGGTGGGCCAGTTTGTTCACCAGCTTATTTAGCTCAGCCAAAAGGCTAGAAAGAGGGGTTCATCTTACAATGCTTTTACTGGTGTCTGAATGAATGGGTCTCATGAATCAATAATTTAACAGAGCTGGGGCAGGTGGCGGCGGTGCCAGAGAATGGAAGATACAGCAAACATTTCACCACTTCTTTGCTGCTAACAGTCTGCAAAGCCAGGGAGGAAATAAAGCGGGGGAGAATAAAGTGCATAATACCAGTGTTTAAGAGTGAGATTGGATGTATGCAAACTCTCTATAGGTGATTCGTGTTGCTATGGCAGAAGCACTTGAAAGCCTAATGAAATACGGCCGAATCCATTCTGCAGATCTGCATGCAAAATTCAAAATCAGCTAAAATACAAACAAAGCTCACAGTAGCTCTGCTGTGCCTCTGCAAGCTTAAGGGTGTGTGGAAACTTGATGTACGGAACAAGTGGCAAATATTGAATACAAAGTACTTTTCCAGTAGTTGGATCCCAGAGCTGAATAAATCTCTCCAGTAAGCAGTGCCCAAGGCTTAAACAGCATCTGAAATGAAAAAGATACATCTGTCAACTGGTATGTAGAACAGGAGGTAAACGACTTGCCTAAATGAGTGTAAACACGAGCAGTCCAATGCAGAGGAAGCTAAAAATTAGGTAAAGAGAAATTCTGAAGGCACCAGAAGAGATAAAAGTTAACAACGATCTGAAGAAGACACTTGTCCCCATTTTTGTTTCTTACTTCATGTTGTTTCATTTTTAATAGTTCATTTAGTAGGCAAAAGTGGAAATACAGTGCACTCCTTTCATAAAGGTAAAGGACCCCTGGACCGTTAAGTTCAGTCAAAGGCGACTATGGGGTTGCAATGCTCATCTCGCTTCAGGCCAAGGGAGCTGGCGTTTGTCCACAGTACTAGCCATTGGGAGGAAACCAGATTCATCATCACCACCATCATCATAATTTATTATTTATACCCCACCCATCTGGCTGGGTTTCCTCAGCCGCTCTGGGTGTCTTCCAACAAAATATTAAAATACAGTGGTCTGTTAAACATCAAAAGCTTCCCTAAACAGGGCTGCCTTCAGATGTTTTGCATTGATAATCATGCCTAGCACATTGTACCTTTGTAGCTTAATTCAGTGCAGTTAGCCAGTGATCTATGTTTTTAGTTATATGAGGGTTTTATTGTATACATAATTATTGTAAACTTTTTTTAAAAAAATGAAATTACAGTATACAAGTATTTTATACATTTCCTCGTGAAATATATTCTGCATATGCTATGCTTAAGAATGCACAGATAATACAATAATACACAAAGAAAATCAGAAACATTGTTAGAAGCAATTTATATAAATTCAATTAGGAGATACTGACTAACATTAGTGATGCGGCAATTACAAAAAGTGAGGGTGGGACAAAAAGAGTGAGGAAGATATAAACTCCTCATTGAGTTGCTGTGCACTAGAAATTTGATAATAGTTTCCCATTTCAATAGCCAAAGAAACAAACAAAACCACAGCTACCACCCAACCCCAATATGATAGAATGCTCTTTGAGTGCTACTGCTTGTTTGGAGAATTTAGTATAACCATTTGAAAATATGGGTGGACGGTTGTTTTGTGAGTGTTTTGGGGACACATTAAACCCATAGCTTCTCAGACTCACATCCAGAGTGTGTCTACTGACCACATATTACTTTTAGCTTGCAGGCTACAATGTGTTTTTCACCATACTTGGCTGCAGTTTCAAACATTTCTTCTGCTTTACCTTCTGGTGACAATTTGGGCATGTGCCATTTTGTCTCTAACAGGTGGTGTACGTGCCTAACGAAATAATATAGTAATAGGTAATAGGTATAACTGGAATGGATATACCGAAAGAATACAAAAATCTGTTTACGTACACAACAACAGCCACACGGACATTGATATCCCAACACTGGAAAGAAGAATAAGTCCCAACTAAAGAAGATTGGTAACTTAAATTAATGTAATATGCTGAAATGGCTAAATTAACTGGAAGACTAAGAAATCAAGAAGACAACATATATATATATATAATGGAAAATGTTTATTGCATGTATACAAAAGCATTGTGAAGAAGTTAATACAATACAATAGCAGGTCCCTGCTCCTGCCAACCTAGCAGTTCAAAAGTGCTATAAAGTGCAAGTAGATAAATAGGTACCGCTCCGGCGGGAAGGTAAACGGCGTTTCCGTGCGCTGCTCTGGTTTGCCAGAAATGGCTTAGTCATGCTGGCCACATGACCCGGAAGCTGTCTGCAGACAAACACCAGCTCCCTTGGCCTGTAAAGCTAGATGAGTGCCACAACCCCAGTGTCTGTCATGACTGGACTTAACTGTCAGGGGTCCCTTTACCTTTACAATACAAGATAAGATAAAAGAACCAGGGGAGGGAATGGAGGGAAGTCAAGGGATCTGAGTAATCCCAAAATATGGATTTAATAAGGTGTGAAAATGTTTTATTTTCTATTTTTTTAATTGTATTTGTTTGTTATGGTGCATATGATGAAAATGTTTAAATGTGAAAATTAGTTTAAAAAATTAATAAAGAAATAAAAATAAAGAAATAATACAGTGGACCTTTTGTCACTCAGTAGGTTGCCTGCTGTAAATGCAGACCTCAAAATACAACTGTCATTGCCTACCCTCTTAACTGCTGCTGCATGCAGCACAATGGTTAACAAGCTGCCTCTCAATTCATGGACACTGACCACCTTACCAGTTTCTTGTTGAGCCTCATGTCATCGTTCTTACTATCCTTTTGCTGCCAGTTATTGGCATTCAACATCAGCAATGTGTGTTTTCTGAGCCTGTGGTGCATGAAAACGAATCAATCGGCATTTGACTGTATTCTTTTTGTATCATGGTCACTTGTTATACCACCCTATTGAAGGTGTTCTGCTCCAGATCCTCTCCATGTGCCCTGATCTCTTGTTTGTGTTTGGTTTTTGTATGAGCCGCTACAAAAGTATCACAGTTTCCACCCTGTCAGTTTGAACTCAGAAAAGGAATATTAGATTAACTGTCGAGATGTTGCAAGGGATAGAGCAGTGCAGTTGTAGTATCTGCTGCCATTTTTACCACTGCTACCTCCTCCTTCCCCTGTGCAGGTGTGGAGGAAGGGGGGTGCGGTGGGTGCGGTCCATCCCGGGTGTCAGCACTGAGGGGACATGACAAAATGCTAGGTGGCACTCACCGCGGGGCCTGCAGCATGCCAGGGCTATGCGTCTCTCCTGGGAGAGACGCAGTGGCTTTGGTGCGTGCAGGCTCTGTGCTGTGCAAACGGTCCACCCACTGTCTCCCCCCCAACTGTAGGGCAGCTGAGTGGGAGGAGGCAGGCAGACTCCATAGGCCCCACAGTGCGCCCCACCCCTAGGTGCTGGAACGGCTTCCTCCGCTGCTGCCCGTGTGCCCACAAAGGTCTACCAGATATACCCTGAGCAAGAGAAAGGAAAGGTGCTCTAGCAGCTCAACAGAACATCATTTCTTACCAACGAGGAGACTGGAATTACAAGTTCCACCACACCAACCAGAAAGTGACACTGTTCGTGTCTATTTTTATACCTTGGTCTTGAGATGTATATTTTCATTTAACACTGATTGAGAGAGAGAGGTTTCAGAATGAGACAGGCTTAACAGTGGTTAAGAAAGTGAAATACTTGGGGATTAACATGACAGCAAAAAATGGGAATTTATTTAAAGACAACTATGAAAAATGCTGAGCTGAAGTGAAAAAAGATTTAGAAATTTGGTCAAATTTGAAGCTTTCACTGCTGGGTCATATTGCTGCGATAAAAATGAATGTATTGCCTAGAATGTTGTTTTTGTTTCAAACATTGCAAATTGTGGACAAAATGGACTGTTTCAAGAAGTGGCAGAGAGATATTTCTAGATTTGTCTGGCAGGGCAAGAAGCCTAGAATAAAATTTAAAATACTAACAGATGCAAAGGAAAGAGGTGGATTTGCCCTACCAGACCTTAAACTTTACTATGAATCAGCAACTTTTTGCTGGTTGAAATAATGGCTGCTTCTTGAAAACACAGACATTTTGGATTTAGAAGGTTTTAATAATGTATTTGGATGGCATGCATATCTGTGGTATGATAAGATCAAAGCACATAAAGCATTTAAGAACCATATTGTCAGGAAAGCATTGTTTAATGTCTGGATAAGATATAAGGATTTATTGGAAAATAAAACCCCAAGGTGGCTGTCACCAATGGAAGCAAAAGCATTGAAAAAGCTCAATATGGAGGCCAAATGGCCAAAATATTGGGAAATTCTGGAACAAGAGGGAGACAGATTGAAACTGCAGAGTTTTGAGAAACTAAAAAACAAAGTGCGAGATTGGCTTCATTATTATCAGATAATGGAGGCATATAATTCGGATAAGAAAATTGGCTTCCAGGTGGAAAAATCAAAATTAGAAACAGAACTGTTAGAACCCAAAACTAAGACTTTATCGAGGATGTATAACTTGCTGTTGAAATGGAATACTCAGGATGAAACGGTGAAATCCGCTATGATTAAATGGGCACAAGATGTTGGACATAACATAATGATGGCTGACTGGGAACAGTTATGGACCACAGGTATGAAGTTTACGGCATGTAATGCCTTAAGAGAGAATATTATGAAAATGATTTACAGGTGGTACATGACACCAGTCAAGCTTGCAAAAATCTATCATTTGCCCGATAATAAATGTTGGAAATGTAAAGAAACTGAAGGTACATTCTTTCACCTTTGGTGGACGTGCCCAAGGATTAAGGCTTTCTGGGAGATGATCTATAATGAATTGAAAAAAGTATTTAAATATACCTTCTTGAAGAAACCAGAGGCCTTTCTCCTGGGCATAGTCGGCCAATTGGTGCCAAAGAAGGATAGAACTTTTCTTATGTATGCCACAACAGCAGCAAGAATACTCATTGCAAAGTATTGGAAGACACAAGATCTACCCACTCTGGAAGAATGGCAGACGAAGGTGATTGAATACATGGAACTGGCGGAAATGACTGGCAGAATCCGAGACCAGGGAGAAGAGTCGGTGGAAGAAGATTGGAAGAAATTTAAAGACTATTTACAGAAATATTGTAAAATTAATGAATGCTAGAATGATGTTGGATAGAAACTAAATGGTTTTTAGCAGAAATATTATAAGGGAATATGAAAAATGGATTACTAACCGGTAAAAATTTAATGTTACAATACTTTAAGATTAGAGATTAGGATAAACAAAGAGGGGAAGGATTTGCTGAACCAACAAACTGAACTGGAATACAAAAAAGGGAGGCGTGAGGAGGTCCAGGAAACAAGCTAATGAAAAATAAGTAATTGAAAGATTGACTTGTTTTTAACTAATTTTATTTTGTATTTTTATTTTTTCTATTTTTATTTTGTAATATTTTGAAAATCTTAATAAATATCTTATAAAAAAAGAGATGTATATTTTCAATACTCACTCCAGTTGTGATTTTAATTTGCTTTGAAGTTTTTAACATTGTATTTTACATTGCTGAGAGCTACTCTGGGATCTTGTGGCAAAGGGTGGGTTGTTGTTATTATTATTACTATTATTATTATTATTACTATTATTATTTCAGTCTGCGTTGTATTTCTGATTGTAAGAAGTACAGGATACACATTTAAGGCATGAACAACACATACTAAATTATTAAAATAATACGTAATAGATTATTCATAATGGAATTCCAGGAGAAACCTAAATCCGGTTCATAGCTGTCTCCAGTGTTGTGTATGTTTTGGCAGGATGTCGACTCCACAGAGTCATTATAGAGCAGCCCATGCTCATGCGGGAAGCAGCGTTGAGCACCAAGGCCCACTGTTGTGTTTTGCTGAAATTGGATGGCGGCATCACAGATTCAGATCTGTACAAAACCACAAAGCTTCAGAGGCAATGCTACTGTCCTCTATCACAGTTCAGTGGAATCAGCAAGGTTTGACTCTGAGTAGGCATAACCAGGATTCCCTGGGTAGGTGGTGAAGATAGAATTAAACTAGGTTATGTTGCCTGCTCAGGATAGAATACACCCCTCAACCTGGTAGTCCTTAGGTTGATATCGAAAAGAAACCTTAATGAGGAATGATTTCTAGTGCACCACTGTCATTTTCTTGTCACGCTGGACTCATTTTCCTAACACAATTGCCTGATTCAGGAAAGATGACTTTTCTCAACTTTGAGGAAATAAAAAGTATGTGCCACAAACTCCCTGGGCATATTAAAGCCAGGATTCTTGACAGTTATTTTCCCAGGGTTCTGCCACTTGACCTTCTACTTCCTGTAGAGATGAAACCTTATGGGAATCTTCGAATCTTCCACTTTGACCCAAAGTTTAATCTTTTCTGCCTGCTCCTCTTGTGCCCTTTCCAGCAGATGCTTATGTGTTATCTGTTGAACAGAGTCGGAAAGGTTGCTAACCAGCTTTCACCTTATCGTCATACCAACAATTCATTGATTCTGAGGTCTCAAAGGAATGTTGAGATCATCTAGTTTGACCTTCCATACACACAGAGCATTCAAGTCTCTCCCAGCTATTACTCTATCAAGTGCACTCACTTGCCGGGTGAATGCTTTTCCTTTACAGTGGTATTCAGCCTCTGTCTGCCTCAGTGGAAGGAGCTGGGTGGGATGGCCGTCAGCAACTTTCCAAGTTCAGCTCAACAATTCTGTCATTCATCATTTCCGTACACAAAAGCTAAGGGCACAATTCAGCCCTTGTGTAAGCTTTGTACAAGCTCTTCTACAGCCCAACACTAAATATGTTTACTTAGAAGCAAATCCCATTGAGTTCAGAATGGCTGATTTCCCAGAAATTATTATCAGGATTGCAGTGAGATTTAACAGTTCTTAACCTGGACTGGTTCCAGTGAGATATTTCAAATTGGTATGCAAGTTGATTATTAAAAGAGAGCAAAGGTTCAGCTCAGTCTCTGTTGACTGCCATCAGCTATAAACTAGTGTCTGATTATGGTAGATGACCCTCTCAAGACTGAATATAAAGTAAGATGTGAAGCAGTTTTGGCCACCCCCTTCCTGACAAACTAGACTTCGAGGAAACCACTGCCCATTGAGACTGATACATTAAATAACTCTTCCCTGCACTGTGAATGATATCATCGGTTGCTACTTTTGTGCACAGTTAAGAGTTGCTACCTTTGCAACGCAGCCCACATTTTCTTTTAATACTCATGAACGAAAGTGTATTGTTATTCAAACAGTAAAAAAAGGAAAAAAATTAAAGACTGTTCCAGCAGTAGCCATTGTGTGTGAGAGCTTTTACAAACGGTTTTCTTAATGTCAATAGCATGCATATATCAAGGACATCTCCCATTAAGAGCTCTACAGGGGTGAGATGCTTACAGCATTAGGTCTCCTAACTTTGGGGAATGCATGCAGGGAAATGGCTATAAATGTGTGTCTTTATTATGTTAGAAAGGCATTGGATGTATGAGATATGTCATTCTTGCAGTTCACATGCCTTGCGCTCATATGTGACCCCTCCAACATCACAAAGATGCATTTGTTTGCATTCGCCTTTTTCCTGGCATCGCCCAAGCATGCGTTTTCAAAATGTCAGTAAGGAAGTATAAAACTGGAAGCATTCAGCACTGTAAAGGAATTGAAAGCATTTGTAACTGTAAATGAGGGCCTCCTTTTTGATATCTATAAGCTGCTACTGCATGTAAGAACTCTGGTCCATGTCTTCAGTGTGATTCATTCCTTCATGAGACGATACAGAATTTTGAGCATGAATTGTAACATTTACTCGGTTTCCCCCTCTACAAAAAGAACAGCTAGTAAATAAAGCTGGTCAGAAATTATTCACGCCCTTTTGTTACTCCAATGTTTTCTGTAGTTCTGTACAGCTCTGTGGTTGGACAACAAATGGTTCCCAATGTAAATTTGATGTTCCCCATTGCATTTCCCCTGTTGCTTGAGATCAGGCATGCCACATGACACCCTTTACATTTCCTAACTCGATGCATTAACTCAACCTGGCTGGCACAAAATATTCAGACTGTGCTTCTGAAGCCCACTTTTCATAAACGTTATATAGCACCCAAATTGGTTGGCATGAATATTCAGGGAGGCAAATACAAATTGTGAAAGGGGTGGGAACATGACTGGAGCAAACTCATTTAAAAACATGAGCCATGACTTGCATTTTCCCAGTATTCTTCTGGCTAGATATAAAATAAGTTTTATGTGAGAATTTCTTGCCAGAAATATCTTTCTCAATAGGGTATGCTTTCCAGAATATATATCAAGTCCACGTCTGAAACTATGGAGCGGTGTATGTGTGTGTGTGGGGGGGGGTGTTTACAAGAAAATGAAGCCAGTCATATTCTTGGCATCATTTGACTCTCCTGTGCTATCAAGTTTGGCTTCGAATGTGTTGGAAGTCTTGGTTATAGTTCCTCAGTCAGAGTTATACAGATGGGAGGAAAGGGAGAAGCCCGTGAACAGGTGGTGGCTGTAACAGAACCAGCAGGTGGTCCTTGAACAATCAGCTTCATCAAATGTATCGGACACCAGAACCAGAAAGCACAAAATCCAGCATCCTAGAAACATCTTGCAAGCTTGGATTCTGGCAGCCAGACAAGAAGCCCCCAAGGAACCTGCTGTTGGCTTCCACCAACCCTAAACTGGCCAGAGTTACGCCATCGTTTTCGCTTTGCCAAAGTGGAACTGAAAGACAAATTATCCAAAACCATCCACAATCTCAGCATGAAACAAATCTCTTCAGGAAAAGATACTACTAGACTTGTCACCTCAATCAGGGCTGATTCTCACAACCATTTCAGCCAACAGCAGCCATGAGGAAATGTACTCCCAAGTCTCTTTAGCAGGCATCAGCATTTATCATCCACCACCCCTTTCACTGGTTCCAGGTTTTTTGGAGTACCTTGTGGAACCATGCCAAGTCCTCAATATTTGTTCACATTTGCCCACAAATAAGTCTCATTGAGCTTAATGACTCGTGAAAGTAAAATGTTTTGAATCAGGCTACCTGTGTGAACTTGCCGATCGCATGGTCGGCGGCTCAAATCCCGGCGGCGGGGTGCACTCCCGTCGTTCGGTCCCAGCTCCTGCCAACCTAGCAGTTCGAAAGCACCCCCGGGTGCAAGTAGATAAATAGGGACCGCTTACCAGCGGGAAGGTAAACGGCGTTCCGTGTGCTGCGCTGGCTCGCCAGATGCAGCTTGTCACGCTGGCCACGTGACCCGGAAGTGTCTGCTATAGAGTGAGATGAGCGCACAACCCTAGAGTCTGGCAAGACTGGCCTGTACGGGCAGGGGTACCTTTACCTTTACCTGTGTGAACAGTAGTTGGCAGTAGCAGGCCAGAGGTGGAATTCAACTAATGGTGTTAGATGCACATGCTGCAATGATCCTGAGAATTTGCCCTCAGAGCATGGGGGGGGGGGGTGTGGAATCCTTGGCACCTGTCCCTTTTTGATTTGCAGGTATTAATTAAAATATAAGTGGATTTCAGAAAGCCCATTTAAAATACAATTGGGTAAAAAGCACTGCCCTGCCCCGCATTCCCCCCCCCCAAAAAAAACCCCTGCCAGAAACCACAACAAAGCCGTGACAATTTTCTGCTGTTTCTCTAGGTGGGGGGAGAGAATTTTTTCACAAGTGCTGAGGGTTCTTGCTGCTTACCCTATTGAGTCTCATGAGGAAGTATGGCTGGAAGGGGTGGGGTAAATATTGCACTGCTTCCTGCTGACCAAACTTTGTGAAGAGCAACATGATGCGATATGACTGGGTATTGGGGCTTTTTTGTTTAGAGAAAACGCGAGAAAGAGGGGACATGAAAGAAGTGTATACAATTATGTATGGTACACAGAGAAGTAGACTGAGAGACATATCTCTCCCTCTTTCATATTAGGACTTGGGGGCATCCAATGGAGCTGAATATTGGAAGATTTAGAGTAGGCAAAAGAAAGTACTTCCTCACACAGTGCATAGTCAAACTGTGGAGTTTCCTCCCGGAAGAGGAAGTGGGAGTCACCAACCTGGAAGGCTTGAAAAGAGGATTAATTAGATTCGTGGAGGATAAGGCTAAGTATGGCTACTAGGCATGGTGGCAATGTTCTTTCTCCACTCTCAGAAGCCCTTCTGGGAATCACAGCTGGGGAGAGCGCTGTTGTGCTCAGGTTTTGCTTGTAAACTTTCCACAGGCATCTGGTTGACCACTGTGAGAACAGGATGCTGGACAAATGGGCATTATGTTCTTACATTATTATCATTCCCAAAGTGCTCCTTCCAGCTGGGAAGCTGTGATGAGAGCCTTGCACATGAGTTGTGTGGCGCTTTTGTTTAAAGTTTCGAAACCAAGGTGGTGGTGGTGGGGAATCCCTTGGCCACTTTGGATGTATAATGAGGGCAATTCTCACTCCCCAAATACAGTATGGGGAAAATATATTTCAGGAAGAGTTTCTATTACTCTCACACACTGAACGAATGGCTGGAAAAAAAATCTGTAGCACATTTTTAATTTAAAAGCATCAAGGGGAGTGTTTGCATGGTTATAAAAGAAAAGGAAATAAGTGCTATCTTATTTGTTTATGATAAGCTAGGGAAAGGTTATGCATGCAATGCCAGCATTTAGACTTAGGGCCAAATGATACATGATATTATATGCCACAAATTCTAAAAGAATGCACCTGTGTGTGGTGGCAGTGAGACAAGTGTGGCAGGTGTGGACTTTCGCTTCATAGCCAAAGGGTGTAGTGGCTTGAATCCTGGGCCTAAGTGTTCAAGCTACTATAGTACTTCAGAGGCGGATTTAGGGGAGAAAGCACAACTGGTTTGGTTGCACTGGCGTGGAGCCTCGGGGGTGCCACAACTATGATGTAGAATCGAAAGCAAGAAGTGGGGGTTGGGTGTGCCAAAATCTGGCATCACACAAGGAGCTGCTGAAATGTGAGACCCCAAGTTCCACCCCTGAGCACTTTAGGGTTGCCATACGTCCCGAATTTCCTGGACATTTCCAGAATACTGCAGTCGGAAGCAATGTCCGGGCAGAAATCACTGTAATGTCCAAGAAAATCTGAACGTATGGCAACCCATGTTGGAAGTGTAGATTTTGGATCAACAACTTTTCTGACTTGAATTTCACTGTTTGAAATATGGCAACCCTAACTTCGTGCCCCACTTATTTCTGTTTGCAGTTTGAAAGGGAGATGGCTTCCCCACCAACTCTTCCATCTCATACCTTCCCAAGCACCCACCTCACTGTTATGTCCTGATCAGCGTGAGGAGGACACAGTTACCACAGTACTTCTTCATTCTACTCAAGCCACGCAAAGGGTGGGAAACCTGTGACCCTCTAGGCATTGTTGGACTCCACTCTCATGAGCCCCACCCAGCTTAATGGCCGGGGGGATGGGAAATGTAGTCCAGCAAATACTGAGAGTGTCACAGGTTAAGGATGACGTGAATTTTCTTAGGGGAAAATATCAAATACTTAAAGAGAGAGAGAGAAAACCTCTTGGCAATTAGCACATTTCTTGCTAAATAACAGCAGCATTGAAATGTTATTTCAAATTGGGATCAGGTGACATTTTTTAATAGTCCCTTCAGTCTGTAATTCAGAATGCATCTCCTCCCAAGTATTGATGTGTCACGAGCCGAGTTATTGATTTCCCTTAACAATTTATTTCAGCCATCTGGTGTCTTTCATACAGGTCTACTCTTGTAGATTCATAAGACAAGCTGAATTAATGAGACATTCTATTAAAAATAATAATAACATAACAACAATGTGTATCATATATGTTTATATTAAATAAAAACTGATAAGCTTTCTCCAGAAAATATCCATTGCAAGCTTTACCTTGCCTAAACCGGCATTCCCCAATCTGGTACCCTCTAAATGCTCCCAACAGTCCCAGCCACCATAGACAAAAGTCAGCCATGATTGGAGCTGGAGTTCAACAGCATGTGGAGGACCACAGGTAAGGAAAGGCTGGTCTAACTGCATGCCCTCACTTCTCAGCGATTCAATTCAGACATCCAATAAAACAAGAAATCATATCAAAGTTTTGAATCATGTCAAAGTTCTGTCTCTTCCAGCATTCTCTCCCACAGTGGTGAGGCAGATGGCCTTGGAAGTTGACTTCATAAAGGAGCAAAGGAGGAGGATGCTCACAGCAACTGTTAGGGCGGAAGGTAGGGAGGTCAATAGCAGATGCAGCAAGAGTGGAGCCAACTAATTCTGGATTAGTTCTCATCTTCCTCCCTGTTTAGTTCTATAAAGGCAACACTGAGGCAGAGGAGGAGCCTGACAGCCAGAGCCAGGTTCATACAGTGTTTTGTGTGGTGGTTGTTTTTTTGGTTGCTGCATCACACTTAACTGATACTAAGTTTGTGGTCTACTGAGACCCTTAGATTCTCTAAACATGTACTACTGGCAAGCCAGGCATTCTCCATCTTATCCTTGTGTTGCTGTTTCTTCCTGTGTACAGTAAGTGAAGAACCTTACATTTGTCCCTATTGAAATTCATTTTGTTAGTTTGGGCCAGTTCTCCAACATGTTAAGGTCATCTTGAATCCCAATTCTGTCTTCTACAGCACTAACTACCCCTCCCAGTTTGGTGCCATCTACAAATCTGATGAACATCTCCTCAATTCCTTCATCCAAGTCATTTATAAAGACATTGAACAACAATGGGTCCACAACAGAACCCTGCAGCACCCCACTTGTCACTTTTTTCTAGGTTGTTGAGGAACCATTAGTGAGTACTCTTGGGTTTGGTCCATCAATCAGCCACAAATCCACCTAACAGTTACTTCATCCAGCCCACATCTTACCTGCTCCTCTGAAATACTATTATGGGGGACTTTGTCAAAGTCTTATTGAAATCATGATACACTATATCCACAGCATTCCCCTGTTTCACCAAGCTTGTAACCAACCATTTAATTATCTGTTCTAGGACCTTTCCCAATATTGATGTCAAGATGGGGAAAACATTTGCCTGCCTCCAGTCTGCAGAGACCTCATATGTTCTTCAAGAATTGACCATGGATGGGAAAGCTCAGTAATAAAATGACAAGAGGACAGAAAAAGATTCCCCCCCCCCGCCGAAGATACTAATAATAAAATCTGGAAATGTGATACTCTGTGGGAGTCTGGTGAACAAACCCCATTACACCTAATGGAAGGCTCACACAATGTTCTTCAGTTGCTCATTTGCAATACATTGTCCTCTACTGCCCAATTTGAAACAGAGGGGAAATCATTCACAGAGCAAACACTTGAGCAGCTTTCATTGTCACTGCTAGTACTGTATATTTAGTTCAAGAAATTGGGTCAATGTGCTTTTTTATTTTACCCCTATTCTGCTAGCCCAACAGGAACGCTGGCAAATTACCAGGCCTGCTGGGTCCCAATCCTGACTTCCCTGCAAATTTACAGCACAAGCACTCACATACAAACACGCACACACACAAAATGGAGTGTGCGAATGGCTCAGCTGACACAGCCACAGGCAGGAGAGATGGCTGGTGCTGCTGCCTATTATCCACACAACTAGCCAGACTGTAGATTTTGTTATTTTATATTTCACACTGCTGGCCAAGTCAATCAGCCGTTGCAATCAGTGCTGATGCTTCAGGGTAAAGGGAATGGAGAGGAGAGGGAGAAACAAAGCTGGAACAGCTGAAGCTCTGCCTGATGCTGTGAATACACGCAGAGCAACAGTATAAGTCATGCCTGCCAGCAGCAAGATCAACTAATCAATCCCTGGAACCCTTTCTCTCTCTCTCTCTCTCTCTCTCTCTCTCTCCCCTCCCCATTTTATTTTGTGTGAGTACCAGATTGTGGCCACTAAAATTAGTCATTTGCAGAGGGGAATGCACCGTGAAATGGATTAGCTCACAAAAGAGACTTGCTGCAGAACACTCCATTATCTTGTTATATGTCGGGTGGATTGTTGAGGTGGGAATGGGAGAAGGAGGCAACAGGCTAGACTGCTGGGCTGGTGGCTTCTCACATACTAAGAGCCCTCTTTCCACATTTGCGTTGATATTTGTGGTTACATAAAACCACCGTGTCTTACTATGGATGAGAGAGAAGAAATCACATACCTGTTTCGTGGTAGGGAGATAATATGCGCAGAGAGGGAGTTAGAAGAAGAAGAAGTGAGACCCAGTTGGCTGCTTCATATTACAATCAAATTAAACCAAATGCCACTTGGCACCCTCAGAGCAATCAGGGAAGATAATAGCATTTTTTTAAATGGAGAAAAACCTCTTTTCTCTCCTAGATGAGTCAGTTTCCCCAAAATGGAGTTTTATAACTAAGATGATGTCAGATTTAATGGCATTTAAATGAAGGACAGCAAGAGATCCAAAGGGCTGAAGATTTCACCCAAATACAGGGCAATTGCTCTGGACTGTGCAGCTGATTATGCCAAAGGGGGGGGGTGTTATTGGCATGGATATTATCAATAAATACCCCAAGAGGGACTTTCAGGGTGGGGAGGGAATACTATGGCCTGACAGGGCAAGAGGGAGCATATGCCCCAGGCAGCAGCATAGAGGGGTAGCAAAACAACAAACATCCTGCCCTGATGATGATGTAGCATGAGAGAAGGAGGAGAGAGGCATGTTCTGGCCAGGTTCTGCTTATTAGGCGAGGTCGTGGAAAGGCCCACCTCATTGCCCACACTGGGAAGAGGAAGACAAGAAGCTGCAGCAGGATCTGAACTTTCAGGCTTCCTGCTCTCAGTGGCGACAGCATGGTGTTGGGGGAGGGTGATGATGAGAAATTCTTTTCCCCCATTGGTGGTGTCCTGATGCCACCACGACCAGTGAGAGAAGGAAGACGGGCTGGGGTACGAAGGGGAAGAAGACTTTCTCCCTGCCACTGCAATGAGAAGGAAGTCTGTGGAGGTTTGGGGCATGTAGTTATCTTGCGCATTTGAAAAAGATCAGACTAGGCAAATGCATATTATGAAGCCAGCATGACTGGCTCTTCTAACACGGAGTGCAGAGATGCCCTTGGAGAAAACTAACAACAGGAAGTGTCTGCCTCTCCCTGCAGCAATTGCTATGCTTTCCTCATTGTGTCCTATAGTGCTCAGGATAGACCACTGAAATCTGCCATCTGGACAACTCAAAGCAGATCCCCTAAATTCACTTAATCTGTGATTTTGCTTGAAACGAAACCAAATGTCTTCTTATGGCTTTCACCAGAGAAGTATTATAATCAGGGTCACAGTGGCAACCATCAAACAAGAGTGATTATGAGATGAGAGCAGGATGCTTGGAAAAGTAAAAAAAGATTGGGTAGGATTGGGGACATATTAACAGATAAAGAGGTGTTACCGAATAAAACCCACGCATAGGATTCCTGACCTATTTATGCCAATTTATTTATTTATTTATGCCAATTTGATTAAGGAGGTGAGAAGTAACTAGCACAGGAGGAAGAAAATAGCGAACAACTGATTGTCGAGGGCAGGTGTTGATACTAGTCTGTTTCTCAAGTGGTACATGTTCAGTGGAACATGGAACTATTTTTAAAATGCATTTTTCTCCCAGGAGTCATTTCAAAAGACTGATAGCTATGCCACACCATTTTCTAGAAGCACACTGAATAAAGCGTTGGCAACTGGAAGCAACCAAAGTGCTAAAGGAGGCAGGGGTGGGTGCTTTCAGCTCAGCACCTTCTGCATAAGGTCACAAAATCCTGCGATGCCTTCAGCATTGCAGCCAGCCATGAAGGGGAACATTGAGTGACTCACCTGCCGGGGGCCAAGCAAACAGTGAAAACTGAACAAGGATCCACCTCAATCAGTGTTTGTTCTTGCAGCACAACACAGGGGTCACCTGAAAGGTGTCATGAGGTGGCTCTATGTTCACAGAATAAACAGGTGATCTGTGGGGTAAAAATAGATTTTATGGACTGCCAGACACTCTTGACTCTGTAGCTTGTGCTGCAGCTGTATTTGCATCTCTGAGGCACATCAGGAACAATTCAAATGGTGTCAGCAGTATTTTAAGAACATAAGAAGAGCCCTGCTGGATCAGACCAGACCCGAGCTGATATTTCTCAGACGTTTTTCTCATAAAAATTCTGAAATTTCCCCTTTCTCTTCCTCTTAAAAAAGGAGAGCCATTCCACAGAATTTTCTCTCCATATTCTCCACCCAAATGTGTGTGTGTATGTGTGTGTGTGTGTGTGTGTGTGTGCACGCACGAGCTGCCAAGGCAATGTCTAGAGCATTGTGGAGGATGCAAAATGCAGACCAGGCTGCCAACACAGATGCATCCCCACAAAAGGAGAGCTTTAGGAAAAAAGAAAGAGACAGTGCTATTGCTAGTACTAATAGCAATCCCCACCCACAAGACACATTTGCTATATTCCTCATCCAACCCTATGGAAAAATTGGTGGGGAATTTTGAGAGGTCTTGTGCACACAGCTCCAGAACAGACCAGAGGCCTACATAACCCAGCATCCTCTTTCCTAAAGTGCCCAATCATATTGTTCCCTTTCTTTTGCAGGTGGAGTTAGTCTGTCATGTTTAACATGCTTGAGGAAATTTAGGGTGCTCTCAGACTATATTTCAGGAGGAATTCAAATTTAGATTTGTAAAAGTGGGTTAAAGCACTCTGTCTTCCTGATGCAACAAATCCACTTTTTTATTTAAAAAATGACTTATCGTGAAGCAAAACATGGGGAAATGTGCTGAAAAGTGTGGGGGTGAATGTATGATTAACATGAAGATGTCAGGACTGGCTGGATGACGAAGAATGGTGGGAGGAACCAGCCCCGGGATGACACAGAGGAAGAAGACTTAGACCAGGATATTGGTGGTGGGACACTGAGGAGGAGGCTAGGAGGTGATAGAAGTAGGAGGCTTGAGTGAACCCAGGGAGTTAGAAGAAGGAAGCCGTTCCAGGACACAGTGGGGTGCCAAGGGTCTCGATTTGAATGCAGACTCTGACAGAGAGGAGCCAGCTGCTGCCTCAGTTTCACAGCAACTGGCCAGTTAGTTTACAGTGAGCTCCTCTCCCCAATGACACCAAGATCATGAAGAGCTTTGCACGTTTCTGAGCAACAGGCCAGCCCAGCCCAGCCCAGATGGGGGTCCCTCCTCCTTGCCATAGTTTACATCTGCTTGGGAGGAGTCCAGAGGCAGAGGACTAGAAGGAGGAGCCTGATGACAGTTCCAGCAGCGTCTTCAACTAGGGCAGTTGAGCCTAGGTGAACTCTGCTGTGTTTTCCTTTTCTGAATAAAAAAGCTGACTTCACATTGAGTCTCAAGTCTTCAAGCCGGCCTGTGGATGATCCTGCCTGCCTGACAGCCCTGAAAGAAGACATAGAAACACACCACAATCAAATTGGCATGAGTTCTCATTGATGCATAAACGGACCACAAACAATTCAGAACAAATGTTCAATGGAGACATGTCAAAGCCTAACCTCTGTGTATGCTTTGTGCCATAATATCTGGATGGATGTTCAATAAACCAGGTCATCCAGAGCACACAATCTGAATCTACAACAGATTAATGCAATTTTGAGCCCTCTAATTTGTCCTTAATTTCATAGTTTAGTTCACATAATACATATTCTGGAAGCATAAAACTAGAGAGCTCGTGTTTGCCTCTTCTATCTCACTCTTATAAGTCAACGATGAGAAACCTGTGACCCTACAGATGATGTTGGACTGCAGCTCCCATCATCCCTGACCTTTGGGCATGTTGCTGAGGCAAATGTGAGTTGATATGCAACATCATCTGGAGGTTCCCCATCCATGTTGTAAATCAATACAAGCTGAAGTCTCATTACATCATGTGTTACGACTGATTAGGAGGGGAAGAATAACCTTTCTGACTCCCAGTAAAAGACAGACAAATTGGCCTTTACCATTACCTATGTTCAGGTGTTCATGTTTTTAAGATACTCAGAAGCTCTGCTTATGATCCTATACCCTAAATAACTCTAAACCAGGGTTATTGCTTGCAGAGAGGTTTCTAAGCATGCCAAATCACACTCACTTAAATACTCACTTCAGAACTTTGCGCTAATCAT